TTTGTATATTCAAAAAATATCTAAAACAAATATAATTTTTTTTAAAAAAATAACAAGTCGTAATTTCCAAAAAGAAAAGAGAAAAAAAAAATTACACTGTAAAAAATAAATTGTACATTAAAAAATATCTAAAACAAATATAAATTCTTATTAAAAAATAACAAGTTGCAATTGAAAAAAAAAATTACACTGTACATTTCATTAAAAATGCTCAAAAAATGTGTTAAGTATTTGTATAAAGAAAAAATATCTAAAATAAATATAAATTCTTATTAAAAAATAATAGGTTGCAATTGTGAGGGAAAAAAAAGGAAAAAAATTACACTGTGCATTTCATTAAAAACTAAAAAAAAATTGTATATTAAAAAAATATCTAAAACAAATATAAATACTTATTAAAAAATAACAGGTTGCAATTGCGAAAAAAAAAGAGAAAAAAAAATTACACCGTGCATTTCATTAATAATGCTCAAAAAACGTGTCAAGTATTTGTGTAAAGACTTCACACATATCCACTCTCAAACTATCAAGTGAATATAGATGAAACCAAAGAACTCAGCTTTAATGGCTAACAAATATTAGAAATTCGACCATTGAAGCCTAATAAATATTAATTAATAGAATTCAGCAATTGAAAGGTTTTAAACCACATCTCTTTGTCTTATCAAATGTCCTCTTTTTTTGGTTCATGCATTCATTCTAATATTCATAGAGAATTAGACATGTAGAAGAGTGAGAGACATTAAAATTATATATTGAGTTATGTAATTGTTATGAAAAATAAAGGTTGTTTTCCTCTCCTATGGCCCGTTATCTAGTTATACCTCCAATTAAAACATCATGTGTGCTTCTACATCATCATTAAATGTTGCTTTCATTTTTGTTAGATACTTGGTCTCGCAATTGCTTGTGTTTTGTGTTATGAAATTTATTACATTTGTGGTTTGTGAGTCTCATTTTTTGAAAATCTTATAATTCATTTATTTTTTGTATTAAATTTTATGTTTGGTTTATGTATTTTTTTAAATAAAGTTTTATTTGTTTTCTTTAAAAGTTTATTTTTAAAAATCAATTAATAAATAAATAAATCATTTTATATTTCAAACAATTTCATTTTTGTTTTTATTTTTTATTTTTTCTGAAAGTAGTTTTAGTTTTGGGCAATTACTTACTTTTTTTTTCTATATAATGTAATTTTGTGCATTTTAAGTGTATGATGTTTTCACTAATACACTCGGAGATGTACTATAAAAGAAGTATCAGGTGAAAATCAAGCAATAAGAAGAAAAAAATAATACGATGAATGTGGAGTAAATATCAAAGATCAAAACTTCCAAAACAAACAAGCAAGTATAATAGAATGTTTAATAATAGACATTTGAAAATTTGCAATGTATAATATTTATATTGATTACCTTTTTAGATTTATTTTTTTTAAGTATTTATATAGAAGTAAAAAAATATTGTTAGGAATAAATTTTTCCTTAATTTAGTTATAAATTTTGTCCGTACATTATTTTTAAACTTTGAATAAAAATAAACATAAAATAATTGATTGAAGATATACTGCATTTATTATATTCCTTGTTCTGTGTGTAAAAAAATTAAAAATTACAATTCACATATATATAAATAATTATAAATATAACTCCTACATATCATGAATAAAACACTAGTTAATGTTTTATTGAAAAGGATGAGATTATGTAACAGTTGTGTAGTATTTAAAGTTGGAAATACAAATATCTGTAGATAAGTCATCCATGTCATGGATCAGGGCCATGGAAGAATGTTAACCGCTTGCTGGACAACATCTTCAGGCCCACGAGGCCCAAAATCAAGCCTCGCCTTTTATTTTAAGGGAAATTTAGTCAAAACAAAACCTCTCTATTGGACCATTATTTAATAAAATGACAATCTAATTTATTTTGTTTCATAAATCCCTTAAGGAGAAAATGCATAATTGAGTAAGAACAAAGTAATATATATATATATATATACACATATTTTTCTTAGACAATATTATCAAAGTAACATATTATTATGAATCAGAGTAACATGTTACTCTCAAACAGAGTAACATATTACTGTTACTATTTACATCAATTTCGATGGTGATAATAATTTTTTTTTTAAAGAATTTCAAAGTCAACATAAATATTATTTGATAGATCTTGATGAGATAATTTTAAAAATACTAATTTTATTAAAAATCAAAATTTACATCAAAAGTTGTATAATTTTAAAGTTTAATAGTTTGATAATAATGATATGTGTTGAACTTTTTTAAAAATTTTTTTTATACTATCCTTAATGCATTAAAATTTTATTACAAGGCGTTTTGACCAAATCCCCCTATATTTAACAACAACAAATTACATTTCATCAACTTTTATTTAAGAAAAATTACATTAATTTTTAAAAAAATACAATAAATTTCATAAATTCTTCTTTAATGTTCCCCGAACTTGCAATCCCTTCTTTCTTGTCTAGGAATGGCAACGGGCCGGGATCACACTTCCCGTCCTCGATCCTCGATGGTAAAAATTCTTCCGTTTCCAGACACGATCCCTGACGAGGTACTTATCACCGCTCCCGTCCCTGCCCTCGCCTCCACTCTCTCTCCTTAACGGGGAACGGGTTTCCCCGACCCCATAAATTCCCCGACCAAAAAAAAAAAAAAATCAACTCCAGAAAATACAAGAATTCATCAACATTTTCAACAACAACAACACCATTATCACCAAATCATATCTGTTCATCATCATCAACAACAACAATAATACACCCATACACTAGAGATTCACATATATATTCAACAAATCTAAGCTCAAATGTAAAAAATAAAAAATCTAACACATTAAACAGATCATCATTTTCTCCATCTTCATCAACAGATCTGAGCTCAAATCAAAAGACATCTTCATCATTTTCTAGATCTGAAGAACAAAAGCAAAAAACAAAGAGATAGAGAGAGAGAGAGAGGGAGAGTAACTAGTAAGGAGGAGATACCGTGAGAGAGAGAGGACAAGCTACCGTGAGAAGGAGATGAGGAGCTGTCGTTGTGACGTCATAAGGAAGAAGTGACGTCGGTGCGAAAGAGATAAGGAGCCGTTGTGTGTGTGAGAGAGAATAGGAAGCGATGATATGTTGTGTTTGTGTGTGTAACTGTGTCAACCAAACCCTAAACACACACACACACACATACACACACACATATATATATATATATATATATAAACAAGGGCATAATAGTAATCTTACATCGGGGTTCTTACATCGAGGGTAAAACGGGGCGAGGTTGGGACCGTGGCCGAGCCAAGTCCGGGGTTGGGAAATATATCACCTTCCCCGATCCAAATATCATCGGGAATTCATTTTTTAATACTATCCCCAACCCGTCGGGGCTATTTTTTGAGAATAAACTGCTCAATTCAGGATCGGGGAGTAGGGTCCCCGTCGGGTTGGGTTCAAATTGCCATCCCTATTCTTGTCGCTCCCATTTTTTCATCCCATTTTTGTAGCATCTAGTAACTAGCGGTCCCTTACCACCCCCCTCCTACTATCACCTTCACTTCCAATCCTTTGATGAATATCCTTTCATGAATTAATTCTAAACCCTTAATCTAATTAATATTATCAATTTTTATATTTATAAACTTATTCAATGTAAATTGGTTCAGCATACAGACTGTCACAGCTCAATGGACATTATTTATTTACTGTATTGGCTTCCGCCAGGCCCTGTACTCTGTTTTACTGTATTACTGTTCTGCAGGCCTTCGGTAATCTCGGATTACTGGCCGGTTACGGTGCTAAACCCATAGGGCCGGGTTTGGGTCGTGACACATTTTCTCTATCTTCATCAACAGATCTGAGCTCAAATCAAAAGACATCTTTATCATTTTCCAGATCTGAAGAACAAAAGCAAAAATCAAAGAGATAGATAGAGAGAGAAAGAGATGGAGAGTAACTAGTAAAGAGGAGATACCGTGAGAGAGAGAGAACAAGCTATTGTGAGAAGGAGATGAGGAGTTGTCGTCGTGACATCGTAAGGAAGAAGTGACGTCGGTGCGAAAGAGATGAGGAGCCGTTGTGTGTGTGAGAGAGAATGGGAAACGATGATATGTTGTGTTTGTGTGTGTAACTGTGTCAACCAAACCCTAAACACACACACACACACATACATACATATATATATATATATATATAAACAAGGGCATAATAGTAATCTTACATCGGGGGTTCTTACATCGAGGGTAAAACGGGGCGAGGTTGGGACCGTGGCCGAGCCAAGTCCGGGGTTGGGAAATATATCACCTTCCTTGATCCAAATATCATCGGGAATTCATTTTTTAATACTATCCCCAACCCGTCGGGGCTATTTTTTGAGAATAAACTGCTCAATTCAGGATCGGGGAGTAGGGTCCCCGTCGGGTTGGGTTCAAATTGCCATCCCTATTCTTGTCGCTCCCATTTTTTCATCCCATTTTTGTAGCATCTAGTAACTAGCGGTCCCTTACCACCCCCCTCCTACTACCACCTTCACTTCCAATCCTTTCATGAATATCCTTTCATGAATTAATTCTAAACCCTTAATCTAATTTATATTATCAATTTTTATATTTATAAACTTATTCAATGTAAATTGGTTCATACAATGGTCATTGTTCTGAATTGTAATAATTTTCTAAAAGCATTTTAAGGTTTTGTTTAGTTGGAGAATTTAGGAAGACATTTAAAAATAAAAAGAGAAAAGGCATATGGAACTAGGTAAATGTAAGTATATTTTATTCACATTTTATTTATCTTTTTTCTTCTCTTTTTAAATTCTTTTTCAAATCTTTCAACCAAACACATCGTAAATGTTTTTTTAAAAAAATTATATTCAGAAAAATAGAATTAACGTCATTTTAAAAATTCAAGTTTATAATTTTTCCTATTTTAGTTTTTATATTTTCATTTAAAAAACAAAAAAAAGTTGGAAAGAGAATTAGGAGCTAAAAAAATTAATGAATTGCGAGACAAAGAGGTCGACGTCCTCACATGGCCAATGATCCCGATCTAGTGCCACTCTGCCACTTTGTTTATAAAGTCTCGATGGCAGCGACGTTCGATCTCTCCCAGTTAAAAACAAGAGCACTGTTTTGACAATTCACTCAACTTCTTCATAGCTCTGTAGCTTCTACCGAGTCAGATCAAATCCATCTGAAATCGGTAAATATCGCTCTACTCAATACTCTTTGGATTTGTTTCCGTTTATAATTCTTGTGAAAATTACCCCCATTATAAGTCTAGCTTGTGCTGCTTCTTTTTCTTTTTTTTTATAATCTGGATTCATAATTGCTATCTTCCATTAACGCTTGATCATGCCCTAGAATTATATGAACGTTAGATTTCTTTTTTATTTTATTTGATTTGTGTGTGTGTGTGTGTAACTTAGGGTTTCATTTCGTTGATACATTAACTTCCTCTTACCTTCATGTTTTGTTATGAATTTTGTGGGTTGTCTATACGCTTGTTGTTCAAGGTATTTATATTGTTGATTTTAGGGGTTCAAAAAATAAAAAAAATAAAAATTTGAACTATGAAATTTTTAATTGTTAATTCAAGTGAATAGTAATGTGGTGGGCATGTGTGTGTTTCTGTGACTTATTTTTTAAATATTAATGATAAAGAAACATTTCAAGTGTAGAATATGGCAATTTTGGATGGACAAAATGTTATTGTTTGATTGTAGTTAAGCACAGGTAAGTGTCTGAATGTTTTGCTTATGGCTCCTTTCATATAAATTGGGCACTCGCTCATAAGATACTTTGTGGAAAATAAAGGCATTATGTGCAAAGTTGTTTTGGGTCATTTGTGGGTTGGTGGGAATTACTCTATTAATATTATCATGCTTGGTTTTGCTGATTTTTGAGTTTCCCTGACAATGATCAAGCCCACCTTCCCTTGCTATAGCTCAATTTGAGCTTATTGAGCTCGGTTGCAAACTTGCAACGACTTGGTTTCTTTGCTCTTAATATAATGAGCAGGGTCGTTAAAATGAGTGTTATATTTCTCTTTTGAAGTTAACATGGTTCTATTGAGGCGGGACTTGTTAGATTATATGTCTTAATGCATTTTTGTTCTTCAATTAGCAAGGCCAAGGCTGGCCAGGTGCCTGTTTTTTATTTTCAAGAAATAATAGGTTTCTTCATCTTGATTTAGTGAATAGGTGGGGCTAAATTGTATCTGGAACATTTTTAGTACATGCATGCATGAAAAGGGAAACCTATGCTCGATGTTTAGGCAAGCTTGCCAATTTGTGTTTAAGTTTGGTTGTCCAAGGCATGTAAACCTGATATGTTTTTAGGCCAAAACAATCTCATTGACCTCTGTCATGCCAAAATGTAGAAAACATATGTGCACATTAATCAAGTAGTTTGCTGCCCAGATTGAGATGAAGCAATTATTGAATCCAGTTGATGAAATGTCATGGTAACTTATTTTGAAACCTTGAAAGTTGAAAAAGCTGTAGTCGGTTTTGTGACTAGTTTTGGACATAAGATGTCAAACTGTTTCCGATGTTTAGGAATCTTTTGTATGTTTTCTTTTTAAATGTAGTATTCTAAGTTTCATAATTGTACAAATGGTGTCAAATTACACGTAAGGATGCTCCAAGGTATGATAGAATTCAGTGTTTTTAAAGGCTCAAGGCGCACTAAGGCGCCGAAGGTCTCTTGGAGCCTAGGCGCAAGGCGCAAGGCGAGGCGCGAGCTTTATTGAAGTAAGGCGCACAGTATTCATAAAAAATAGAAAAATTAATATAGACTAGTCATTCATAGTAGTAAGACAATTTTTTAAAAAATAAAAAGTAATCAAGATTCAAGACAAAATATAGAATAATTCTCAAAGCCATGAAAGTGCATATTACATAACATTCCAATTTTCAAAGATCAAATAATCCACATTCAATAAAATAAAAACATAAACACTAAACATCCAAAACATAAATATCCAACAAATATTAATATATGTCTTAACACTTAAAAACATCAATATCAAAAGAAAGGGTAGGTTAGGTCGGTGTCAGTCAATCATCATCCTCAACATCAATGGCAAGCAAACTATCATCTTCTTCTCCATCAGTTGATTTGTATCCCTCAACATCTTCCTCCTCTGTGTCATCTGAGCCCGCTTCCTCTTCATCTATTAATTGAAGTGGAGTCAATGTTGATGATTTAGATATCCTCGGTTGTGCCTTTGAGCGTGAACTTGTGCTCTCTTGCATGGCTACTTTCTTCTACTCTCAGAAGCCTCTGCAATAGTGGGCACTGTCAACCCATCATCCATCATTAAACACAGGCTCATTATCTTCATCTGATCTCCATCCACCTTCCAAGCAACCACTCATGCTTTTCATCAATATTTTGCAAAGATATGGGCAAGAGTGTTGCGTGCCATACTTAAATCTCAATGTTCTATTGTATTTGACATACACTAAATCATTGAGACGTTTATTCCAATCTATTTCTTTTCTTGCTATGAAGCTGCAAGTATTAAAAAGATATTAAATTCTATATAATGAGAATAAAAATATTTGAATTGAAAAAAAATTAGTTAGAATGTAAATACTCACATGTTCGAATACACTCAAAATTCGTTACAAGCCCGATAAACTACATGTTAGGCTAAGGACTTTTATGCAAGTTGAAGTTTGAGTTAAAACAAAAAGTGGAGTACACCATATGATGCCCACTAATCAGTGCGATAATCCACTAGTTAGAAATAATTTACAGTTACATATTAAGTCTTTACTAAAGTATTACAAAATAAACTCTATGAGTCTATAATATGTTACCTGGTGCTTTGTATTTCTTGCCTAATCGCAACAGCCTTGCCAAAAGGACTCTCAGCCTTCATATAAATACTCATCTCATTAGTGCAATCAAATCTTGAACAGTGACATCCGGGACCAAACCTTGTGCATGTCATCAAACTCATTCATCACTTCATGATCTCTTGTGCAGCTCTAACGCTTTTGGGTAAAGAAGAATTCTAGAGAAAATGCGCAGGTGCATGTAAAGGTCGTGCAATTGGACATCCATCTTTTGTCAATGATTTCAAGATTCTATAACTTCTCTCTTTATGATCAAATGAACTTGCAATGCTTTCTTTTGCCCTTCCATTGCCTCATAAATGTAGTCCCATGGGAGGTTTCTTCTCGGTATCAACCAATCTAAGCACTTTGACAACGAGGACCCGAGACCTTAAGGGCAAACACAAACAGTATTCCAAAATGAAGGCATCAACAATTTGTGCCATCTTTTACCTTTGCTTTTGCCCATTTGCTTGAGGTCCAGTCTTCGGAGGTGACCATCTTTCTCAAATTGTATTTTTGTTGATCGAATCCTAACAAAGTCAAAAAGCGGTTGCAAATCTAGGGTATTGTTTGGTTGTGTTTGAGAGATTGTTTTAGAGATAAAAAAGTACGAAAATTGTTTGGTTTGGTTTTTTTCAAAAGATGTTTTGGAAAATATATTTGAGAGAGAGTTTTGAAAAAGTGATTGATTTTGATGTGTGTGAGAGAGAGATTTGTTTGGAAAACTTGTTTGGTTTACAAGTTTTGAGAAATTTTTTTGGAGAATTGTTGTTTGATTACTTTCAAAACTTATTTGTAGAGAAAATTTCAATCTCAAAATACAAACCAAACGAACCCCTAGTTTTTGCAGGCTTGTGACAAATTCTTCCAATTTGTGTATAGCGCCTCTTCATGTTTAGCAACGTAGGCCAAGTGTAAATGTAGCCATGCTACTGCAATACCCCTTTCAAATGATCTTTTTCATAGTTATCTTGAAAATGTCTTTCTAACATCAAGTCCTAAAACAATGAGCAGCACATGGTGTCCAATACAAGTATTCATACTTAGCTTCCAAAAACCTCATATAATGAACAATAATGAAGAATTATTATTTTCAAGTTTTTAAAATTTTAATACAAAACAAACTATGAGTAAACATTTGATGTAGGAATGAGGAAATATCTTACCCGCCAAACACATTAGCTACAGCACTATTAGTGTAACTTGCACCACATTTCTTTCCAACTCTTCTCCACAAACTTGTACTAGAATTTCAAATAGCTTCTTTGCCATCTTTGAATAGCCTAGAAGCATCACCGGACCTCAACAAAACATGGTTCCTCTTGGACAATTAACTTAAAAAGTTAATCAATGTCCTTCCTCTCTATCAGTCCAACCAACAGCCATTATGAACATCCGTATTTGACAAATCCTCTTTAATGATACTCATCAAATCTTCAGTATTTTTCACTTCTTTTTTGAGTTGGTAACCCGCGAACTTCATGGTAAGGTCGTGCTTATACCAGACCATATTGGCCAATGGCTTCAATCATGTCCAAACTCTATATTTACTGTATTGAAAGGGATACCAGCATCATACATCTACCTTGCAAATCTTGCAGTGCCCGAGCTCTCATTTTTTTTGTAAGGTCATTTGCATCAATTTTTGTTTTCCCTTTTGGTTGGTCCTTTCGACTTTTCACCACTGATTCAATGGGTGAGCAGTAAACATCCATAGCCCTTTCGCTTTGGCATTTTATTTTGATTGATTTGGATGACTCTTGGTACTACTTGTCAACTTCGGTGGTGATTGACAGTCTGATCTCAACACACATCAATTTATCTTCATCTTCCTCATCGTCACCAAATCAGGCAACATGTTATTTTTCTTTGTGTCTTGGTTTTTTGGACATGAACTCTCTTAATTCTTTCTCTTACATGGAAGGCACTTCGGGCAAGCAGTGACATTCCTATAACCTCCCGCAAGGTGTTGTTTCACCCGATAAACACCTCCATTTGATACTTTACCACAAAAATTACACTCAAACTTGTTTAAATTATTCTCCTCCACCAAATGGGCATACTGCCACGCCGGATCTTTTCTATTACTTTCCGATGTCATTTTCTACTTAGTACTTACTACACAACACAAAAAATAAATAACAGAAAAATAATTTCAGTATAATGAATGTAATGTATGTTATGTGATGAATTAATTAATATATGTAATGTATGAATCAATTTTCTATTTTTTTAATTAATGATGAATTAATTAATTAATGTATGTAATGTATGAATTAATTAATGTATGTAATGTATGAATTAATTAATGTATGTAATGTATGAATTAATTAATGTATGTAATGTATGAATTAATTAATGTATGTAATGTATGAATTAATTAATGTATGTAATGTATGAATTAATTAATGTATGTAATGTATGAATCAATTTTCTATTTTTTTAATTAATGATCAATTAATTAATTTCAGTATAATGATGAATCAATTTCAGTATAATCATAATGAATGTAATGTATCTATTTTTTTATTTATGTATGTATGAATTAATTTATTTATTTATTTATGTAATAATCATAATGAATGTAATAATCATTAATGAAAAAAAAAATAAAGAAAAAGAAAGTCGAAAGAAGAAGAAAAAATTAATAATTGAAAAGAAGAAGAAAAGGAATGGACTGAACTGAAGGAAAAAAATAGACTCAAATAATTGGAAAAAAAAAAAAAAAGGAAAAAAAAAAAAAGAAGAAGCAAAACAAAAAAAGTTGAAAAAAAAAACAGAGGACTGAACTGAAAGTCGAAGGAAAAAAAAGAAAAGGAAAAAAAAAAAAAAATATGAAAGTCGAACAACCAGTGTCGAAGACGAAGAAGAAGGAGAAGGGGAGAGAGAGTTGAACCTGCGAAGCCGAAGTCGATCCAGTGTCGTAGTCGAAGTCCAGCTCTTGTGTCGTAGTCGTAGTCGCAGACCAAGTCCAGCTCCAGTAGCTCAAAGTCGATTGTGAGGCGAAAGAGGGAGAGAAGACTTCAATTAGGGTTAATCTGAGTCCTATTTGGCTCATATGGTACATGAGTTCTGATCCTCTGTGATTACGAGCCATTCAAAAGGTTCATCTGAGTCGCATTTGAGTCGTTAGATCAGATCTACAGATTAAACACTCAGTCACGCCTAGGCGAGGGCCTTGCGCCTCTCTCGCCTTGCTCAAGTCGCGGCTAAGGCACTAGCCTGGCTCAAGTCGCCTCGCCTGGTACCTGTACAGGCGCAGATGGTGCGCCTCGACTCGCCTTGCGCCTAGGCGCGACTTTGACAACACTGATAGAATTCATGGGTTTATTTTGAGTGAAACAATAAAATAGCTGTAAGTTAGCTAAAAACTATTCTACTTAGCTCAATTATCATTAAGCATTCTCTGTTCCTCTCCCTGTTATTTCTTTAGGACATTACAAATGAGTTTATTTATTTAATTCCATATTGGGATAACTTACTGTTTTAAAAGGAAACCTTTTCTGTCTATTGAAAATATTGGTCAGTGTTGATTTTCCACAGTTTTGGGCCGTTGCTGTCCACTTTAGCCCCTCCATCCTGATTGATGTTACCATCTCTTCCTGGCCTTCTTCGAGATTTTGACCCTTGGACTTTGAGACATGTTCATTTGCTATTCTATGGGAGGACAAATATAATGTTGTACAGATCTTGTTGACTATTTTATATATTTATGGTGCCCATATTGATTAGTCCATTCAATACTATAATGTTTAATTTTGATGAAGAAAATGAAAATCTACTGTTTTTTAGTTGACATCTTTTATTTTGAGTACATAATTTTTAAAATTTTCATTTGAGGTTTGACTTTACAGGGTGACTTTTATTTGCATCAGAACTGGGAAGAAGCTTGGGTGGACGTTCGATGGCACCAGCCATGTATTGAGTGGTGTAGTTCCTTGTGGCGAGCAAGTGACATTTATTTTGTAGTCATTTGCTCTATACCCCCACCATAATGTGGAACTTTGCATCCAATTGCATAGGTGGCAACATTGGACTCAAGAATGAGTCTACAAGGCCAATCGAAGGTGGTTTGGAATCCTCAGACGATGAAGATTCTTCGAATTCTAGCAGGGAGGAGGGACTAGAGTGCCCGATATGCTGGGAATCTTTCAACATAGTTGAGAACGTGCCCTATGTTCTATGGTGTGGCCATACTCTCTGTAAAAATTGCATTCTGGGGCTGCAGTGGGCTGTTGTCAAATTTCCCACTTTACCAATTCAGCTTCCACTTTTTATCACCTGCCCTTGGTGCAATCTCTTATCCCCCCGTCTGGTTTACAGGGGAAATCTGAAGTTCCCTCGCAAGAACTTCTTTCTACTGTGGATGGTTGAGAGCCTAAATGGTGATAGAGTGAAGTCTCAGTCTGCTTTCTGTGGGGATCATCCACCAACATGGATATCAAATGGCAAGATAGCACCGGGGAGTCAAGTAAACCACCCTGCTGTCAGGAGGGATCAATATAATCACTATTCAGAATCATCAGGATCAAATCATGATCATAACGCTATCAATAATTACCTCACTGTGGAGAGACTACACGATTCTCTTAAAAAGTCTCTGGTTTTCTTTGTTCAATTAACAGCAAAGTTCCCTCTGGTTCTTATATTTCTTCTGATTGTCTTGTATGCAATACCTGCCAGTGCAGCCATCTTAGCCTTGTACATACTCATTACGGCTCTATTTGCTCTTCCATCATTTCTAATCCTGTACTTTTCATATCCTAGTTTGGATTGGCTGGTTAGGGAAATGATTGCTTGAGATGACATTTGTCCTGCAATGGAAGTTTGCCCAGATATCTCTGTGTCTGAATCACATCAGTGGTGTAATTTCACGACTCCATTTGTTTCAACATCCTCATCTGCCAATGCATAGTGGGTTTGTGTATATGTGGGTGCAGTTGAAAGTGATTGTCTACAAGGTTAATTTCTGGTCAGAAGCCTGTTAGTTTTCTTGTTTGTACAAACACTTGTGCTTATAAATCTATTTTCTAAGGCATGCTTTTTTTGTTTGTTTGTTTGTGTGTGTGTGTGGTTCTTTTGCCTTATGGTGAGAGTCGTGTGAAAATAACTGGAAACTGCTTTTCAGTTTTGTTGATGGGTGTAAATTAGGTGTTGGCAGGAGCATCTATGACGAGTGAAATTGTGATTTTACGGTCTTCGTTTGAAGAGTCTTCGATGAAGTGCCTTATACATGAATTGGTTTGTTAATGTGGCACTGAATGTACCCATCCATTATTTGCATTGCTGCTGTTGTTTTGTTCTTGAATCTCTATGCAGAAGGGGCAGGTCTTGTGATTGCTTGACTCTTAACCATTAACTTAGTCAATTAAAATAACCAAACATAGGTTGAACTGTATTAATAATATTTACAATCAGGCTGGTTGGTTTTAATTTTTTAAAAAATGAGTTTTTTTATTTTTTGTTTTTTTTTTAGTTTTACTGAATATTTTTAAAATTTTAAGTAATTTTTTTATTTTTTTAGACACACATTACTTAGATGTATCCAAAAAGTAAAATATTTATAAAAAAAACAATAAATACACAAAAATATGAAAAATGTATTGAATTCTTTTTTTCATTTTCTTTTTTTTTATATTTTTGGTATTCAATGAGTTTTCTAAAGATTTTTTTCACAAATATTATACTTTTTAAGTATATTTATGTTAGGTGTATCTAAAAATTAAAAAAAGTTGATTAAAATATTAAAAAAATTCAGTAAAAAAAAATACATAAAATGATTTTTTTTTAAATTTTTTGAAAAGTAAATCTTAAAAGGGGATTTTTTTATTTTTTTAGGGTCCCTGATATTAAGATTTTATAGCATAAAGGACATCTAATATTTTTATTAGGTCTAAGGTCCCTCAAATCAATCCAAAGAAAATTCGATCTAGATAATTTCTCTGGACTTCTCTCCAGAGAAATTCTCAAATTTTCTCTGGACTTCCCTCTTCAAACCAGAGAAATTTACACAACTCAGATTACACAACCCAGCTTTCGTCCAAACCTCCTTAGCAAAATCACATTCAAACAATCAGTGTCTTACCACAGCTTCCCACAGATTACACAACCCAGCTTCCGCTCAAACCTCCTCAACAAATCACATTCAAACAAACAGTGTCTTACCGTTACATAACACCTATAAATGGAACACACCTTCCATGCAAATAAGAGAATTTCTCTGGTCCAAACCAAAGAAATTCAATTAAGATCAGAGAAAATTCAATCCAATTCAGAGAATTTCTCTGATTCAAACAAGAGAAATTCAACCAAAATCAGAGAAAATTCAATCTAAATCAGAGAATTTATTTGGTCCAAACCAGAGAAAATTTAATCCAACTCAAAGAATTTCTCTAGTCCAAACCAGAGAAATTCAATCAAAATTATAGAAAATTCAACCTAAATTAGAGAAATCAAAACACAAGTCAAAGCACATAAAACTCAAAATTTCACTTTCTTATGTTTTCCTCAGCTTTCCAGGCAACCAAAGAGAGGCAACCAAAGAGATGATATACACAAGGAAAAAGGTATTTTATTGAGTTTGATACACATATAAAATATTCAATTTTGCAATTAAATTCAGATACTCACAGTTTCCTCTTGTTTTTTCACCTTCTTGCTCTTCTTCTCTTTCTTACTTTTACTTTTGCTCTTCAAATTTGTCACCACAACTTCATCTTCTTGCAACAGCAACGAAGAATGATTGACCTTCAATTTTGAGTCGTTCCGTTGGTTGGAGCTACAAGCTCGTAGCGGACTTGGTAGCGATCGAAGTACATCGGCGCATGCATTGCCTCTATGATCTGCTCGACGGCACCGGTGACTAGATGTCCGATTCCGTCGCTGGAAATCAGAGTGATTGCCCTCAGAGCGCCATCTTTGGGTCGGGGCATGTACGTTACGAATCGTGATGGTGATTGAGTGCGGAGTTGTTTGAGGCTGGGTGTAAATTGATGAGCCATTGATGTGGAGGACTTTGATTCAGTTTTTGATTGGATTTCTTGGCAGAATCGGTGTAATAACCCTCATTCTTGTCTTAGTCACGTTCATGTACATTTACATGATTTTGTCTTGTCGAGCTTGCATTTGTATACTTTGACTTGTTTGCCTAAGTAAAGGTCCCTGTCTTGTTTTGTGCTTATGTGTTTTGCCTAAGTGTTATATGCATGCTTTGTTCCTTGCTTGGTGTCTCAAGCTTAGGTCACACCCTTGAACCTCTTACACCTGGGACCATCTTGGAACCACCTTGGTTGACCTCCACCGTCACCTAGGCATACTGGCCGAGATGTCATCATCTAGGTCGAGGTGTGCATCACCTAGGCCGAGATGTTATCTTCTAAGCGTTCTAGATCTTTGATCCTTGCACCCAGTGATCTTGTTCCTGGACTAGTATGACCTAGACCGAGGTGTGGCACATCTAGGCCGAGGTATGGCACAACTAGGCTAAGTGTTATCCTTCCTGGCCGAGATCAGTGAGACCTTACTTGCCGAAACCTATGTCCTAATTCGAGATCATTGCCTTGTCAGAGTGCCCATGCCACCTTACTTGTTATACACACTTTGTCATGCTCTTGTCTTTTCATTTTGGCACCTTTTTGAGGAGATCCAATCCGGTGATGCCACGTGTCCCAACAGAGGGTTAAGCCAACTAGCAGTGAGAAACCCACATCATTTGTCATATCTTTGCCTTTGGAGAGAGAGAAGCTCTAGGAAGAGGAAGAGAAGTTCTTAGAGTAAGAGAACTAGATTTCCAAGCTTGATCCTTAGAGTTGAACCGTTGATCCATATTTTGAGGTTAGATTTTGGATCTACTCTTGTTGTTCCTTATGTTGATATCATCACATTGCATGATCTAGCATGATTCATGAGTCATGCATTGATTTAAAGTTTGGTTTTAGAAAGAGAAAGTGAAGTTTTTGTGTTCTTGAAAGAAAACCATATTTTAATCCGAAAGTTTATGCCAAGTCCTATGTTTTGTGTTTGTTTTCATGAAAACTTCAAGTATGGGTACCCAATCCATGTTTTAACTCATTCCATAAAATCTCAGATTTTGGAATAGAAGTTATGATTTTAGCATTCATGTTCTTCACGTTTATGTTCTTCATGTTCTTTAAGAGGAAACCCAGATTTCCAGACTTCATTTGCTAAGTGTGGTCACTGAGACCCACTTTTGCCTAGATCCCGCACCTAGGCCAAGCATCGTATCTCATCTAGGCCTAGGAGACTACACCTCGGCCAGGAGGTGTGGGACCTCGGCCAAGACTTCTTGAGTTCACCCAGCTAGGCCATTTTGGCCTAGATCATCTCTGTGCATCCATTCCAAGACCTAGTTGGTACCCAGCATGTTTTCCCTAGAAGAAAAACAGTGTTTTGATTCCCAGCACATGTTTTGCTTTGCCTTGACTTAGTTTTGGAAAGAAATGCCGGAATCATTTTCATTCATGTAAAGTTTGTTTTTGAGAATGCATTGCATAACCATCTTTGAACATTTTTTCTTGTCTTCTAGAAATGCATTCAGTGGACTTTGCCATGTATTTGTAGGTCTTAGATCCTTACCTTAATCCCTACACCCGAAGAGCTATGTGAGTGGTATTTTTAATAAAGTATGTTATAATGTTTTGATAAAGCTTGGTTTTGCTTTGTTTTGGAAAAATATTTGATCAAGTATGAATGATTATCCCTTAATTTTTTGTATCAAGTATTATGTTGTTTTGATGACATTCTTGAAAGGTCCTTTCGTGCTAGGGGACGTTAAGCCTATGTAGTACCTTTGTTTGAGATATCTCTTTGCCATCGACGGTCATGTACAGATGGCACCACCAACGGTCTTGTACGGGTGGATTTGTCTAATCGATTCCGGGTCGGTTATTCCTTTGTTTTGTCAGGAATGTCATCCTTTGTATTATGTAGATGTTAGTAAACATCCTAAGAGGCTTTGAAAGACTTTGATTGATGAACTTGATGCATCCCATGTTTTGTTACAAGTTATGATATGTATTGTTTTAATGAAGATCTCGGATATCATTCATTCAAATTTTTATTAATTTATATCATTCACTGAGTATCCAAGCTCACCCTCCCTTTTATATATATATAGGTGACGAGCAAGAAGGCGGTGACGCCTTAGATGTTATGTGTAAGATGTTTTGGATTCATGTTTTGTTAGCATCTTGAAGATTATGCTTCTTAGTTTGTAATTCATGTCTTTTATATACTTCGGCTTGAGAAACCTTTTGATCAAGATGTAACATGTACTATATTTTATTTGTATTCAAGTTGTAAAACCATGTTAAGATGTATGTCATTTCATTTGATCTATGCACAACTCTTATGGACTACTTAAATTAAATTTGCTTCCGCACATGTAAGCCCCATATGTATACTATTGTGTGTGAATTTTTGTAAGTTGGCCTTTGGTAATCTCGGATTACTGGCCATCACGACACCATTCTACTAGGGGCGGCATGGGGTCGTGACAATCGGAGAGGTTTGAGAATGGAGAAGTTGGTAGAGAGAGAGAAATGAGATTTGTTTTGGGAGAGTCAAATTTCTCTGTGATATATGAGAGTGAAGTTGAGGGACTTTAGACATTATAAAATAATATTGTGGATCTCTTCCATTACTAAAAATGAAAGAGAAACTTTACACTAATTTTCTTATCTTAAAAATCCAAACCAAACAAGCTAATTTGATTTTTGGACATAATGTTGACAACCCTTAATTTAAAATCAAGAAAATGTTTAAAGCAATAAAAACTTCCAAAAACATTAATAATGCCATTAATTGTAAGGTTTTTTTTTTGTCCCAACCAAAATTGCTTTTGGCTTATTTTGGTAATTAGGAAATCACTTTTCCATTTTTTATAAATTATTTTTTACATATTTTTAAAAAAGAAATTAAACAAACTTTTTTTTTTCTTAATTTCCAAAACAAGCCATGTTTGTTGTTTTTCACAATAAAATTCTCAAAAAACATATTGTCAAAACCACTTCAATATTGAAGCTTTGCCCGTTAGGACAACATATGGGGTGTTTGTTTCAGCTTTTCAGAGTCAATTTATGACTTTTAGGTTTGAAAAAATTATTTTGGACTGTTTGGTTAAACTTATTTCAAACAGTTTCTGATTCTAACAGTTTATTTTAACTCAAAAAAGCTGATTCTGAGAAGCTGCTCACCCCTTACTTCTGATTATCAGTTTCTGCTGTGGACATGTTAATTTATGATTATACTCTTAAATTTTTTTATTTTTTATTTTTTTAAAAATAAAAAAAGACTCAAATGGACTATAGATTATTATTATTATTATTATTTTTTATGAGAAATGTAGACAAACAAAAAATAAAAATTAATTGAAAAAGTTATTTTATAGCTTATTTAACAAACACTACTCAGCAACTTAAATCTATAATCTAAAAGTTACACCAAACAGATTAATAATTTTTTATTAAAGTTATAATTTATAATCTGTTAAGTTATAATTTATAAGCTGTTTTAACAGCTACACCAAGCAGGGCCATAGTAGTGGTAATTTGTGGAGACTTATTTATTTTTTATTTTTTATTTTTTATCTTTTCCGTCATCCACAATAAAAAATCCTCAAAATCCAAGTAGGACAAACCCGCATGGAACCTCCACGTGTCACAGATATAGACCTGTAAAACTGAAACTTTGCGATCCTCTCAGTCGAATCCTAGTTCAATATCTACACCCTCAATGAACTCTTGAAGATTTTCGATTCAAAAAAACAAAAATGGTGGCATTTGTAGCTGTTTCCTCCCCAAAATCAACTGTTTTCCAGAATCCAATTTCTTCCAGAGTCCCAAATTCCAACTTTCTCGGCGGATCATCACCATTGAAAGCACTTTGTTTACAGGTTAAACCTAGCAAGACCAAGAACAGAGATGTCATCAATTTAGTACTTGCTTCATCGAAAACCACCACCACCACCGCCGCCACCGGAAGCGGTGGTGGAAGGTTCTATCTGAATTTCACTGGGTTCCCTTTCCCACTTGGTCCCTTTCTCAATCGGTGCACTATCAGGACTGAGGTTAACTTCTTCTTCTTCTTCTTCTTCTTCTTCTTCTTCTTCACCTTATCTTTGTTTATATGTATTGATACACGCATACATACTTATAGGACTCTGGTTTTGTCAAGTAGTCTTTTAATTTTATAGCATTGATTTTATTTGAGGTTTCAATTCTTATATATATTCTCAAATGAGTTATATTTGGGGGTTTTGGGGTACTTGATTCCTCGGCTGATTCTTGTCAAGGCTCTTATCATTTCAGTTTTATTGATATTTTTTGATATTGTTCTGTAAATTCTATGCTTTTGGTTTGGTTAACTATGTACAACTCTTCTTACTCTACGACTTGAGTAATAATGGAATATAATTAATAAATAAGTCTCTCTGGCATCATATTTATGGCAAAGGAATATAGATATGTATTAGATAGGATAGAACATAGTATAATGCCTCTAAAATGCATTGGGAAGCCACCTACACTGAGAGTAATGCTATACAAAAAACAAAGTTTAACTTGTCATTTGAGTTTGTTATAAGGACAACGGTAGTGTATGCAATTTGCCTTTAAAAAACTAACAAGCACTTTATTAAAGTAACGTAGTTTAAAAATAAATTAATAATAAAAATCTATTACTTAAACCCTACCCATGTTATTAACCACATAGCCATGTTATTAACCATGTACCCATGTTAATTAACCACATACCTGAGTTATTGATGAAGTTTCCCGCAAAGTTCTTGCGTTTACCACACGTAATCTTTTCTCGTATCTAAGCTTACTTTGTAAAGCAAACTTGAACTAAAGTAACAGCAAAAGTTTTCTCTGGACTTTACAATTGGAAATCTTCCTTTTCCTGTTTCCATGGTAGTGTAGGTTCCCACAAATATGATGTTAGGGGATGTGTATGATGATGGTTCACAACATTGTACAAAAATTCACCTAGAACATGGTACAATTGGGTAGGCTTTTTTCAAATCTCATTTGGTTGAATGCGATGAGCTAGTGGCAAATGCAGGAAACTAGAAAGGTTCTCTTTTTATCAAATATGGACAGGTTATATCTTTTAAAATGCACTTCTGTTATAAAGAAACCCAGTAAATGAGATTAATTTCCACCACATTATGGAGTACTCAACGGGAGCACTGTTGTATACTGATAGTAGTAATCTATATTATGACCTTGGAATATCCATAATAGAAAGAGAAATGGATGTGCTCACAAAATGTGCTGATCAACTTTTCATTGTTGGCATGCATCTTCAAGTGGTAGGTTGACTAGTCATCAAGCATTAAAAGACTCTTAACTGAGGTACAGAGCAAATTTTCATTTTGAAGGGGAAAAAAATTATGGAACTATCTCATTCTGTACTTGAATTTGTGCTCTTACTTGAATCTCAGGCTGTGAAAGGATGCATATGGCTATTTGAACAAGAGCAGGCACTGGGCTTCAGCAGTGTCTCGACAAACATTCGAATGACGGTCATCAAGCTCAAATCTGGAGGATTATGGGTCCATGCACCCATTGCTCCAACCAAGGAGTGCATTCAGGTCCTATTTTGTTCTCTCATTCTATTCATATATTTGATAAATGCTTTTAAGACACTTAAGCTGCATTTTAGAGTCCAATGGAAGTTGAAGTAATTCCAATTTGTTCTTAAAAATTAAATGTTCATTTCGGTCATTTCCGTTCAATGGCATTATAAATAGTTCATTTACTAATATTGAATGGTATGTATTATATTGTCCAAATGCTTTTCAAGAACCCCTATGTCACCTAAAGATAAATGGCGACACATACTTGCTGTTGCCAACCCCAATATTTGCTCTGTACATGCAACCAATCATTTAGCGACATCTCTGTGTTGAATGATACAGAACAGTTTTTTCAAGTGCCTTTGACTTAGGATGTACCCACTTTTGTTGATTAAAAAGAGCGCAAAACCTTAATTCTTCAGGCTTTCTTATTGTTATTTATTTGTGTCCATTTCTTGTGTACCTGCACTTTGATTGGAACCTTATCTTTACAAATCTCTCTTGCAGCTTGTGAAGGAGTTAGGAGCTCCAGTAGAATACATTGTCCTGCCTACATTTGCATATGAGCATAAAATATTTGTTGGCCCATTCTCTAGAAAGTTCCCCCAGGCTCAGATATGGGTGGCACCAAGGCAATGGAGCTGGCCACTGAATTTGCCACTCGAGTTTTTTGGAATTTTTCGTGCCAGAACATTGAAAGATGGGGATTTGTCAACCCCGTGGGCTGATGAGATTGAACAGAAAGTTCTAAGCTCACCAGAAGTAGGTAATATGAACTGCATTAGCCTTCATTTCAAACTTCATCTTGTTGGATTACTCATTTATTTTTGTATATATTTTAGGAATCGGGCCTTATGTGGAGGTGGCATTCTATCATAAGCGTTCACGAACGTTACTAGTGACGGATGCTGTAATTTATGTCCCCAGTCAGCCACCCGAGTGTATTAGCAAAGAATCCTTGCTGGCTTCTGCAAAGAATGGCTTGGCCGTGAAACTTCTGAGTAAAGGAAAGGAAGTTCCTCAGGAACCAGTCGTTGACAACAAGATGTACAGACAAAAAGGTTAGTCTTAGGCCATGTTTGGCATTCTCTAAATTTATCAACTTTTTTGCTGAAAAAGCCAAAAGTAAAAAAGAATGCTTGGTTTGGCTAAAAAAGCAAATTTTCTATTAAAAAGAAGAAAAAAAAAACTTTTTTGGGGGGAATGTTAACAAAAGTGTTAAAAGATGATTTTACCCTTCATACTTTGAGAAATTATACTGTCCCTTTGGTTATGTTAACAAGGGCTACACAACACTATACGGGTAATATGGTTAATTCGCACTAAAAAGCAGAAGTTTGAAAAAACCTACAAAACTTTCTCCATAAATAATAATAAATTAGCAATTACCAAACGCATCAGTTTTGCCAAACCTCATTTTCGTCCTCTATTATTGTTCTGGCAGCTTGCTATATGTTTGATAGTAAGTAAACTTTAGAAGATGCTGATGCAACATGTAGGCAAACATGTGCCAGAACCTATGAAGCACAGACACCTCTCCAAGGGTTGCGTATCAATGTCGAACAAGTGTTGGACACGGACACTTAATGGACACGTGTCCGACACGCAGTAGAAGGTGTCTAGTTTTTTTTTTTTTTTTTTGCAGCCGGACACGTAATGGACATGTTTGGGACATCGCGGGGTGAAAATCATAATTTATGAAACTTCAAGTGGGGGTCAATTTGTAAAAAACAAAAATTAAAGCAAACAAATCAATTTGTAACCTAGAATCGAACAGAGAGAATAGAAGAGAGTGAGAGAAAGGCTCGTCAAGCACACATGGTCGCTCGTTAATCGTAGCTCGTCGCTGCTCGTTGTTCTTGCTGTTATCCAATGTACAACTTCGATATTCTTCTTCGTTCAAATCTTCTTCGATCTTCTCTCTCAGTTGCTCTCTCTCTTCTGCTCTGCTCTTAGACTTTTATTTTCTTTTTCTTTTTTTTTCTTTTTTTATTATTTTGTATTTGTTGATTGAAACGCCTCTCTCTCTCTCTCTCTTTCTTCTTCTTCCTTTTTTTTTGGATTTTATTTTATTTTTTCTTCTCTCTCTCATCCACTATTATTTAATTATATTCTCTTTTTTTTTCTTTTTTTTTTTGCTGATTAGTTTTGTTTATTTTTTTTTTTGTTCTTTTCTCTCTCTGCCTCTGTTATTTGATTATATTTTTTTTTCTTTTTTTTTTTTGCTGATTAGTTTTGTTTATTTTTATGATATGTGTTTATTAATTTTATTATAGGAACCAATTTTTAATTTTGAAACAATGGCTACTACAGGTGGTAGTTCTAATGACATATCTGATGATGATTTTGATGAGAACAAACCATTGTGGAAATTTATAACTAAATTAGCAAAACCTAGGGAAGGAGGAAATTACCAATGAAATGATATATATGATGTTAAATCAATGAAATGTTTAATTTTAATAGTGTTATTTTGTATTTTTTATTACCTTTCAATGATTTTTTTATTTATTTATAATTTTATGAAATATAATAAATAAATTTAATTATATATATTGAACGTGTCCTTAGCGTGTCGTGTCTTCCATTTTTTGAAAATTTGTGTGTTTGCGTGTCCGTGCTTCATAGGCCAGAACACTTGTGAATTGAACTAAGACTAGATTCTTGGTGCAGGGTGGGAGAGAATGGTTCTCCAAATCTTGTTCCTTGGTCCATCAAATCTTTTGGAACCCAATGCTAGCTTCGCTCAAATGTCGCAGAAGCTGATTGTTTCGCCCATTGTTAAGACATTGGTCTTCAGCAAAGTTCCTGAAAAGGTGGGTAAACTACTCTATCGCAGATTTTTCCTCATTAGGTTAAGAATAACTCTAGGAATACAAAAAAACCGGTCACAAAGCTGGGCACATGATGTATATGGATGGACAATATTTTTTAGAAGTAGGTTCCACCAATGAATTCTTTAAAATCTTGCCCAAGCCATGTTGGTTAATTTCCTGGGTGTTTTCACTTGAAATTGTAGCAACCAAATCGAGCTATTCAATTGTGATTGTGCTAAGAGTTTTAATTTTTGACCCTTTTGCATGTATCTTAAAAAATGTTCAGGTTAGGGACTGGATCGATAGCATAGTAAGGAACTGGAGATTTAGGAGAATAATTCCTGCTCATTTTGCTGCCCCAATAAATGCAAGCAGGTCTGATTTCTTAGCAGCATTCGCGTTTCTTGATGATCTATTGGGTGAACGATACGTTACTCGGCCTTCTCTCTCGCTCCTCTTCGCATCACTCATGGGTAAAGCTGCCAGTTACTTTCCTCCTGATGACATGAAGACCTTATCTTCTCTTGACCAGTTTTTAGTCTCGGTTGGAGCTGTGAAGAAGACTGTCTCAGGCCGAAAAAGATGATCAAACACAAGCTACAACTTCCTGTTAGATTTTTCATCTTAAATTTCAAACACCTGTATATGTAGTGCATTTAGTAAATTACATATGCCTTTTTTTTTTTTTTTTTTTCAATTGCTCATTTTTATTTTTAATTTTTAGAAATGGAGGAAAAAATTTACTTAACAGTTATGATACCAGTGTTACAAGGGTGTCTTTCCTGATAAGGGAAGTGCTTGTATTAATCAATGCATTTGTCTAAGGTCTTGTGCCTATGATTAAACCTTTCTGAAAGAAGGAATAAAATGGGTTGAAAACCTTGGGGGGTCACCCTCCTTCACTAAATATTATCTACAAGTTCATTGAGAGAGAGAGAGAGAGAGAGAGAGAGAGGAGCCATTTCCTAGTGGCCCAACACTATAGGAAAGAGTTGCCTTTTTGATTTTGTAATTATTGTACACTGAAGAACATGCTAGATCTGAAGCATGGTTGGATGAGTTTGTGGTATAGAGGGAGAGAGAAAGGAATCCAATGTGTGTGTGTGTGCGCGTTTTTTCTGGTACTAAAACCTTTTTTGTGGTACAGGGACACAGAACACTACCAGTTGGGCTATAATAATGTCTGATGTTACTTTACGGGTCTCCTGATATTGAAATTATAAATTTCCATCCTAAAGATGAATTGATGGATGCGAAATTAAAATTATGCAAATATAGAGCATCTTTAATGGTGTGCTATCCTTGATGTCATTCAAATTTAGACAACAGTTTTTCCAAATTCATTTTTAACGGGATGTTGTCCTTCATCTCAAATTATAGCAATGTCAAAAACTTTGCGTAAATTTCAAATTTGCTTTAGGCAGCAATTATTTTGTTGGTCAAGGTATGGTTTCTCGTGTCCTCCATAGATTACACCACGAAAGAAATATGTTCGTTATAAGTCAAAAGAGGTTGTTTACATGTAAATTAATTAGGCTTCGATTAGGATGTGGGTTGATGTGTTGACGATTTTAGTTTGGGATTAAAAAATCTCGTTTGGAATAAGTTTTTTGGTTTTTTTTTTGTTTTTTATAACAGAAAAATAAAATAATTATGATTTAGATGTGACAGTTTGTTTTATTAGACTAAAAAACTTATTTTGTCTTTTTATTTCTAAAATAGTCCTAACCTAACCCAAACCTTCCTGCCAAACATAGCCTAGTTATCCAGTGTCACGGGTCACAAACATACCTCTCCTCTTGATTTTTACGGGACCACAGAAATTGTGAAAATGTGTTTGGATTTATTTCCGATGTATCAAAAAAAAAAAAGTGTTTGGATGAGTGATTCCTAAATTATGTAAACATATTATAGGTTAACTGCTCCTTTGGCATTAGAGTTTGAATGATGTTGGGACTATTTTAGTTATAAAAAAAACAAAGGCGTTGTTTGGCAAAGTTTTTTTTTTTTTTTTTTTTTTTTTTTTTTTTTTTTTTGGGTTAAAATTAATGAAAGGATAGTTAATAAGACAAAATGTCATATAAAATTCATAATCATTTCTCTTTTTTTTTTCCTCTCGCACAAACATCAAATTTAATTATAAAAAAAATCCAACTATCTTTGTAAATATAAATATTTTAGCCTACTAAAATAATTAAAAATTAAAATAGTCTCGTAAAATAGTTAACTTTCCAAATGAGTCAAAAATAGGTTTTTTAGCTCCAGGCTAAAAGTTGTTACATCTAAATCATAATCATTATATTTTTTCTTTTATAAAAGTAAAAAAAATTAAAAAATTAATCCCAAATAAGACTATTTTAACCTCAGGTTAAAATAGTTAAAAAGCTAACTTTTATTCCAAACGAACCCAAAGTTTAATAAATGGAAAATAGTCTGGACCCCAGTGGGGGTGACCCCAGCACCCCCACTGGTTTTTCATTGGCTGAAATTTTATTTTATTTTATTTTATTTTTTGTCTTGCTTCACAGCCCCCCACAGCCCCCCACGTGGAAGTGGGGGTGCTGGGGTCACCTCCATTGGGGTTCCCAGCATTACCGTTAATAAATTTCACATGTCTGACGGATATTAAAAGTAGTATCTCGGGATTTAATGTGGCTTCTCATGATATTTTTATTTTTAATCAAAATGCTTACTATTATCTTGATAATTTTAAAAATAAACATTGACACATCATTTTAAATATATTTTACGAACAAATTTTTTGCTTGCAAATTATTTTGAATTTGTAGTATACTAGTATTACTCTATATAATTTTAACCAAACTAGAAGTGCCCATTTAAACCTACACACAACCCAAGCCATAAATTGAACCATTGTTTTCTTTTAAAAAATTTATGAGACATCTAGGTTGAGTGTGAGGTTATTTTAGTTATAAAAAGACAAAAGAGATTTTTAGTTTAATAAGATAAAATATCACATCTAACTTATAATTATTATATTATTTTTCTCATAAAAAGTCAAAAAAAATTAAAAAATCTATCTCAAACGAGACTTTTTAACTCTAGACTAAAATAACTAAAAAGTCAAAAAATTAAAAAATCAATGCTCTTCCCAAACCAACTCCTAATGTTTAAAAATAAGAGAAATTACAATTCAGCAATATTTTAAACAAATAATTAAATGTTTAAGATTTTTAATATTAAAGTCCGTAAATTTTACAATTGATATAATTTTATTTGTTTTTTTAAACTTACATATTTCTCCTTTAAAGTAAATCTCTTTGCTTAAAAAACATTAAACATCTGACAGTATCACAACTTGTGATTTAGAAATAAACAATCCGAATAAAGCTTAAGACCCGTGCGGCTGCTGGGGGTCTCTCTTGGTTGGTTAAGAAAATTGTTTTTTTTTATTTATTTTTGTGGCAGCGCCCCAGAACTGTAATCAACTCTCAGGTTTCGTTTGAGATGTGAGTTAACTTTTTAGTTTAGTCTCGTTTGAGATAAAATTTTTAATTTTCTTCCTTCAGCCAGTGACAGCACCTCAGAACTGTAATCAATCCTCAGGTTTCGTTTGGGATGTGAGTTAACTTTTTAGTTTAGTTTCGTTTGAGATAAATTTTTTAATTTTTTTTAATTTTTGTGATAAAAAAATAAAATGATTATAATTTAGATATAATAATTTTTCAACTCGAGTTAAAAAATCTATTTTTTCTATATTAGTCCCAATTCACCCCTTACCCACATGCCAAACCAATGCTCAGGAGGGTTATTAAGAAATGATAACATCTAAGTTTGATCCTGGGAAGGATATGTTTAGTGCTATATAATAACATGATAACATCTATGTAAAGCTTAGCTTAGCCTGAAATTGATATAATTATATCATTAGTTGGAATGACCTCAAACTAACTTTATGCATTTCTGATAAGAAAATGATATATCAGTTTATTTTTAAATTTATTTTCTAGATGTAATGATATGTAAGTGATATAATTAGTTAATAATTAAAAAGATATTAGAGAGATTGTTATTTTAGATATCCTATTTGATTGTTATATCATTGAGTTTGAAATTTAGATCTAATTTTTAGACTTGTATAGAGACGTCATTTTTGATGAGTTTGTTTTTTATAAAAAAGAAATAGTTAATAGATTATGTTACTTTGTTTTAGAATTCTATTATACACACTCTCATACCATATATATATCCATAATTACGTAATTTTCTTCTTTAATTATAATCAAATTTCTTTTTAAGTTAGGACATTATTTTAAAATTTTGGTTATGATTTTTTTTATTTGATTATGACTTTTTTTTTATTCTTTTAATTATAACTTAAAAAATATGAAATTATAATATTTTCTTATACCTATGGTATACATTTTGGAGAGAAGAAACCATAGTCTTTCCCTGCCTTGCTTTCATAACATAATAGGTGTGCCATTTATATAGGGTATATTACACTTTACCCCTAAAGTTTCATTCATTTCTTAGTTTGGCCTTTTAAGTTTAATTTTTCTCACTTTGACCTTCATGTTTACAATTCTTCTCACTTTGGCCCTTTAAGTTTAATTTTTTCTACTTAGCCATTCATATTTGCAATCCATCTCACTTTGACATTTCATATTTGCAATCATTTCCATTTTATTCCTAAACTAACTTCTATAAAAAAAAAATAACAGAATCTGCTACATCACTAACACATCAGCTCTATATGTGATGTAAAAAATTCACTAAAGATGCAAAAAATAAAAAATAGAAAACAAAAAAAATTGGAATTTTTTTGTCTTTAATATTTTTTTGTCAAATTTATTCATAAACATTATTACATTATAGATGCATCTAGATTAGATGCAGCTAAAAAAATAAAAACAAATTTAACTAAAAAAAGAAAAAAGTTTACTAAAAAAAAAAATGAAAATATACTGACTCAAACACTTATATTGTCAATTCTGAAATGAAAAATTTACTATCATTTTTTTTTTCGTCTTTAATGAACTTTTTTTTTATTTTTTTAGTTAATTTTGTTTTTATTTTTTAGCTGCATCTAATCTAGATGCATCTATAATGTAATAATATTTATGAATAAATTTGAAAAAAAAATTCATTAAAGACTAAAAAAAATTTCAATTTTTTTTATTTCTTATTTTTTGCATCTTTAGTAAATTTTTTATATTAGTTTTAGTGATGCGACAAATTCTGTTACTTTTTTGTATGGAAGTTAGTTTAGAAGTAAAGTGGGAATGATTGCAAACATGAAAGGTCAAAGTGGGAAGGATTATAAACATCTATATAATAAGGGAAGAAAGTTTTTGAAAATGTATAAAATGTATGTGAGATACATTTTAATTTAATGGCTGAGATTAATCCCAAGCTTATATCAATGGTTCAGATCAATAGTGATCTCCCGCCCAAACACTTCTCTTCCTTTAACCTTCTCACCTACCTACGCTCCTCCTCATTCCCTTTTATCTCTCTCTCCCTCTCTGCTCTCACCCACGTCTCTTCCTTCCTTCTTTATCTCTCTCTCCCTCTCTGTTTATTCTTCAACAAAACCCTCTCGACCACCGCCATCGCGACCACCTCTTTTCTCCCTCGCAGGACCTTCTCTGTTTCTCCTTCTTCAACAGATCCTTCGACCACCGCCATCACGATAGCCTCTCCCTCATCCCCCTTTATCACTTCAGTCCTCTCCTCCTCGCAACAGATCTTGCCAAAACCCTCTTTACAGGTACAATTTTTGTTTGTTTTGATTTCGGTTGTTATTTTTGTCTGTTTTGATTTCGATTTTTCTGAATTTGGAGTTTATTTGGGTTACTAATAAATTGGTGTATTGTATATATAGCTTCCAACTTTTGAACTTACCGCATACAGTGCACGCCCAGGATACAGTCTTAGTTTGAGAAGCTGAGTTGCTGGTTTGACGATCCACTCGGTCGGTTTGAATCAGATCCGCCATTTGTGTGTGGTCTTTTTCCTTCTTTTTTTTCTATTTTTTTTTTTGGTTGGTTGGTTGGGGAAATTTGTCATCCCAACTTAAAATTAGAAGAGTTCTATTGCAAGGGCCACTTTCTGGTTGCTGTTCTCGAGCTGTTTGGGACTTGAAAATTTCCCCAACCTAGATGGATTAACATTATTGTTTGATCCATTTCAGAGCTCTCTCTCTCCCTCACATAGACATACAAATTTGCACAAGAACATTTTGTTTTCAACTGCCTCTTTTTCTTTTTCTTTTTTTTTTTTGTTTGAAGATGGGAATCTGCTCTAAGTTTGAGCTGCAAAAACTGTGTCACCACACATCATTTAATTTATACTCCACATGTTGCCTTTTATTGTATTTTTTAATTTCTTTTTTGTCTGTATGTGTCAGGGTGGCAATCAATACCCTTTGAAATCTGCACGATTAATAAATAAAGTTCTAGGTCATAAATTCCTACAACTGATTGGTGAATCATTATTTTTGGGTTTATGAAAACAAATTAAACTAACATTAGGCCTTATATTTCTGAGGCTACTGTTATTGTGAGAGCTGTAAGTTATTACAAAAACAATAATAACTATCCAATGCCTTGGGGAGGGGAGGAGGTGGCAGCAGTGGGTTAGATTTTCATGTTTTGTATTGAATAGTTATTAATTACATGTGTTGTATTGAATTTTACAGATTGATTTACGGTTTCCATGTTTTGCCAAAATTGCTTTTTGCGTTTGTTATGTTTTCATGAATTAGTCAATACATGGATTTCATATTTGGTTAGGTTTCAGATTTGTTTATTAGATGTTATAGATATGGTTAGATTTCTCAAGTTTACTGCTAATCGATGGATTTCAGATGGATTTGGTATTTATAGATGGATTTCGTATTTCTCAAGTTATAAATATGGTATTTATAGATGGATTTCAGATTTGTGGGTATTTTGATAAATAAGTCTCCCACTAATTTTGTAAAGCCAAGCCATTGTTTGGCTTTGCCATAACCAATGGCACAACATTGAAGATGCTCTAATGTGTCATACAATATTGGTACAATGCATAATGACACAAAAAAAGTGGGATTATATGACAATTTGGTATAAAATTTTTGTGATTCTATCATTAATCAAATAGGAGAGATGGAGACAGGAGATCTAAACTTGGCTCTGCATATCCTTATGATATACATAAAGGTTCATACTTTAGTCATTGTTGGCTAAATTTCCAAGAAACTTCAAATTTACAACCCCTTTTTTGTCCCTGCCAACAGAAAGAATTGAATATCCTAACTTCACAACATGATACAATGTTATGAATTTTATTTTACTGTTGTAACTTTGAGTTTGTTGGGTATTACTAATAATCATTATATATATGTATATATATTATTTTGTTGTTGACAGCTTCTAGGTTTACTAGGAAACTTAAAGGGCATAACATCAGATTTAGTGGCTTCTGAGTGTGTGCTTAAACTGTTGAATGAGGGACAAATGGAGTTCATAAACAAGAGTGAGCCACAGCAGCTAACACAATTTGCAGCCCACTTCATTAGCAACACTGATCAAGCTCAATCTTGCAATTTTGCTACTTTTCTCCCTATTGAGGAGGACACTCCTCTCCAGGTATGTGTTGATAATACAAATAATAAAGTTACTCATCTCTCTATCTATGATTTAAGCTGCTAGATGAAATGATAGTTAAAATTTTATTATGATGTATAGCAACTGATAATAAATCCTATGATCAGCAATTTATCTGTGTACCCCTATGTTACTTACACCCATGTAATATGGCAAAATTAGAAATCAAGAAACAATGAAGAAAAACAATTACCTTAAACATCTTAAAGTCCATGTCCACGGGTGAAGAATGACAGAAAAATTTCACTATGAATGTGTAAAATACAATGAGTTGCTCTTTGCAGAAACTTTCATGACCCAAAAAACAAGAACTAGAACCCAAAAATAACCATTGCACAGGCCACCAATGGGTTTTAAACATAAATCAATTTGAATTCAAGACACCCAAAACAAGTAGCATATCCATCTTTCCACATAGTGAAACACTTGCTATGTTCTGACTTCTAAGTTCTAACCACATAGTGAAACACTTATAGACATATGTTTTGATGCTTCTTCAATCTATTTCCTGCAATATAAAAGACCCTGTAATTTTTGAGTTAAAAGTTGCATTATTTGTGCTAGGAAAAAAAATTAGGCAAAGAGTACATTGTAACTACTATATTCGACAGAATTGAAATTGCACTTGCTGAAATTGCAGATCTACTAACTAAATCTCATGTTCCAATCATTGGTTCTGGTAGCAGTCAGCCTTAGTGACTCCTTTGTAAACTTGACTCTTTTGGTGCCCTTTGCCAGTTTATTCCTTCATCGAGCAAAGCAGCAATGTGGCAGGATTGCCCCTTTTTTTAGTACTTCTTCCCACTTAAAAAGAAACTCCTGTATGATTCTTTCTGTAGAAGGTGCTAAATAGTGGCTTAGTTTTGGATGTTGGGTTTCTACTTAATTTCTGTCATGGATTGTTGGAATCTATATATCTGCTCATTACAAATTTTCGTATTTTATATGTTTTCATAGGAAATTGAAATAATTTACTTCATGCCTCTTGGAGATATAATTATGCATTCAACCTTTGGTTTACTTCATGCCTCTGGGTGTGTTTTTTTTCTTTCATCTGGATTCAAATGGTTTATAATCTGAAAGAGTAAGTCTTGAAGATTTATTTGATCTTATAGCTCTCGGGTGTTTTTCAGCTAATTGTAACATGAATTGTATGTCGTATAGTTTTATTTGACAAAGTTCATGTTTGGTGGTTATTTGGTTCTGTTTACTGAAAAGCTCCAACTTTTTGTTGCTTTCTGGAGGTTCAAATAATGTGATGAAATATTTTTGTTGCTCTGTTATAGTCTCTGCGCTAACCATAATTATGTTTCTGGAAAGGCCCTTCCCCCCCTTTCTTTATATGCATTTAACTTTGAGAGAAGTTAGGTTTGAAGTTAAACATATCCCAAACAAGAACATATGCTAGGCTTACCATTCGTCTTAATTATGATGTAGTAATAATGTTGGCATGATTTTCATTGGCACTGTTGTGTGCATGTTTCTTATAGATTTGCATTTAAGACCATTAGGTGAGTATCATCTTATGATGTGTTGATATTTAAGATGGTAAACAGACAATAATATTGAAAAATGCACTGAATTAGACTACAACTGAACTAACTTCTGCATGGAAAAAATTTTCTATCTTTATAAAAAATCAAAGGTCACTTCTCTCTACATTTATATTGCTCAAATACCGTGACGTGTGTTGAGATGAATTGCCACATGAAGAAGTTTGTTGGCCTACGATTTCTCCAGTAACTCCTACCCTATATTTCTGTTTGTGTTGTGACTGTGTGTAGTTGTTTCTTCCAGATATTTTGTTATCACCGTGTTTTCATTACTAGCGGCTTGACCAGAGTTGGCATCCTTTCAAAATTGAACCCAAATATCATTTTCAGAAAACTGTCTCATTGGAATTTGAAAATTGAACCTCCCATTTGTGGTTTGATAGTGCTCTGTATTGATATGCTGGCATATACCATAATTCTGTGGTGGTGGTAGATGATGGGAACTGTTTTTTCGTGGATGGGGCTTTTGCTTCTGCATATGCTGACGGATCTGAAAGAAGTTGGCATCATTTAAAAATTCCATCTTATCATTTCTAGAAGACCACTCATTTATATTTGAAAATTGACTTCCCCATTGATCTCTGGTTGGTTGCCTTGCATTCAATCTAGAGTGAATTTGTTTTTTAACATCAAAACAACTGTCAAAAATAAAAATTTGACCTAATTCTGTTGTATGTGTATTTTTTATTTTTATTTATTTATTTATTTTTGTTCTAATTTTGTTTCCGTCATTTAGTTTTCACTACTCATGAATTGCAATGTGCGACATGGAAGTTGCTCTCATTGTTGTTATTATTATTGTTTTATTTCGTTTGAGGTGTCGTCTTTCAATCGCAATCTGAATTCTGCAAAGTTTCAATCGAGCATTTTTGGTACTGTTGTTCCTGGCAAGCCATCTTCCTTACAGTTGAGTAATCCACTGTTTCTTCTTTGTGTAGCTGATATTGATGTTATTTAGACTCTTTACATTGTTATTTTGATGTCCTAAAATGCTTAACAAAGCCAAGATAGTTAGGTTTGTGTGAATGCATTTAACAGAGGGACAACGTTAAAACTTCTTAATATATTGAATGTTAAAACTTCTTAATATATTGAAAGTCAAGTTACTTATGTGTTTATGGGATATTTATGTGTTTCTTTGAATTGAATTAAGTGAATTGAATAGTATAGCATATTGCTCCGTGCACCAGCTCATTTTTACACTGCCATAGCCCCATGAATAGAGCTTCAAGCCCATGACCCTTGCTTTGAAAGGCTGGGTCTCTACCAACTGTTATTATACCCAGTGTGTTAGTGTTCCCCTTCAATTACTATGCATTTGTCTACACCATTAACATTTATTGTATACAGTTTTTATTTATTTATTTTTATTATTATTATTATTATTTTATGGTTAATTGATAGAATGCTTTCAATATATTTCAGGGAGGAATTTAAGGATGAGGAGATGGTTGATGTGAAGTCATTACACATCCGAAACTTTCTCTGAAGTTGAGTTTGTTGGTTAGTGTTTTGCTTTGCATTTAACAATTGTTAGGATACTCATATCCAACAATTGTTTCTCTATCTTCTTTGATTGAAATTCATTGATTACCTAGGGACCTGTCTTAAAAAGAAATGTAATCCTAGATTTAATAGTAAACCACTTGATTATCTTTTCGTCTATTGTTATTGGTCGGTTTCGGACAAAAGAAATTTAAAAACTATGCCAATATACTGTAAGAATGTGATGGATTGCAGCCCTCTAAATCTCCATTATCAAATTTTCACAAAATCTTAAAAAAGGGTCAATTATAAATATGCCCCTGATGTTTGTAAAATATTCTCTCTCTCTCTATGGGAGCTTGCATTTTAAGATTAGTATTCAGAGTTTGGTAATGAGGTGCGGTGTTGCCTTTGATTCAAACTTGGTTCTAAATCATGACACAATGCAATTAAACAATTGGATTTGCTGATTGAGATTTTATTTTATTTTATTTATTTTTATTTTTTGTCAGTCAAACTTTTTTCTTATGTAGTTATAATTTTATTACCAGCAGTAGCACTAACTGGTGTGCATTTAAGTTTTAATTTCTTTTAAATTGCAGAGCACTGGCTGGTGTGCATTATTTAATATTTTAATTTTTTTTATATTTGATTTGTTTGGAATTGTAAAGTACAGTCTGTTAAATATATTTTTATAACTACATTTTAATCTTAATATTATTTACACCGTGCCTTTAGGCACGGGCATACGCTAGTAAAGGGACAAAGTGGAAAAAATCAAACTTAAAGAGCCAAAATGGAAAGGATTGCAAACATGAAGGACCAAAGTGAGAAGGATTGTAAACATAAAAAGTCAGAGTGAGAAAAATAAAACTTAGAGGGCTAAAGTGAGAAATAGATAAAGCTTTAGGGGGACAAAGTGTAATTTAGCCATATATATATACTAGCGTATGCCCGTGCCTAAAGGCACGGTGATTCCGTTGATATTACCAGGACCAAAATAAGATTTATTCATGTATACAACATGCATATATATATATATATATATGTCCTACTTTTTTTTTTAATATAAATAATAATATATTGTTTCTTTACTCAGATCTCCACCGTCCAGATCTCTCCTGAAATGGTTGCGTACGTAAACTGTTCAAAGTGGGGTGGAATGTGTTTAGTTTGATTTTGAGAGGTAAATTTAAAAAATTTTGGAAAAAGAGTTTAGAAATTTTTTTGATTTGTTTGGTTATATATTTGAGAAATAGTTTTGGAGTATGAAAGTTTTGAATGATTTAATATTTTATTGTAGTTGAGTAGATATGTGTGTGAAAAAAAAATAATTGATATATATATATATATATGTCCTACTTTTTTTTTTAATATAAATAATAATATATTGTTTCTTTACTCAGATCTCCACCGTCCAGATCTCTCCTGAAATGGTTGCGTACGTAAACTGTTCAAAGTGGGGTGGAATGTGTTTAGTTTGATTTTGAGAGGTAAATTTTAAAAAATTTGGAAAAAGAGTTTAGAAATTTTTTTGGTTTGTTTGGTTATATATTTGAGAAATAGTTTTGGAGTATGAAAGTTTTGAATGATTTAATATTTTATTGTAGTTGAGTCGATATGTGTGTGAAAAAAAAAGTGATTGAAAAAAAGAGAAGAGAAAGAAAAAGTGATTGATAAAGAGAGAAGAGAGAGGGAAGAGAAAGTAATTTTGAAAATTCTTTTTCAAAATCAGTGAACCAAACAAAATTTTAAAAAAAAATTCCAAAATTTATTTTTCAAAAACAAACCAAACAATGACTTTCGGCACAGCACCCAATAAGCAACTCCCACCTCAACATCTCTCGTGATATTATGGCGATATGAAGCGATGAATTTATATATATATACTTAGTAATAAATTAAATTTATTAGCAAAATAAAGTCAATATAAAAGCAAGAAAAAATAAATAATTTATGAGGTGAAAAATTTGGGTTATAGACACGTAATAAGCCCCACAAACCCTAATATGAGGTCATGTTCAGATTTTAAATTTGAAAAAAATTCAATTTTTATTGATTTTATTTGATAAGAATAATTTTCTTATGATCACATTTCATAATTACTCAAGTTGGGAATAATCTTTAAGATGTTGTTTTCTACATTAAAAAAGGAATAATCTCTAATATTAGTGATGTCAATTAAATCATGGTAAATACTTAAATATTTGTTATTGTTCAAAATTATGTAAAAGTATGTTAGAAATAGTGAAAAAAAATTAATATAAATCATTTTGATTTTAGTAAAAATATATTGTAAATTTCATTTTTTGTTTGGTCCTTTTTATGCCTCCTTGGAACACTTGTATTAAAATTTTGATATCCAAATTTAAATTTAACATAACATTACATATTAAATAAAGAAAAAGGAAAAAAGAAGAAGGTAGGATTAGTTTAAATCTAAATTTAATCGTTGGACTAATTAGTCCTGTTTCAATTAGTAGAACCCTCCCCATATATATATATATATATATATAAATTAATTGATTCCGATAATCGTAGTTTTTTTATTTTGTTTTATTTATCTTTAAGAAAAAGATAAATTACAAATATATCTCATGAGATTTGATTAAAATATAAATCACCCCTTATGGTTCTGGAAATTACATTCCACGTTTCTAATTTCATAACAAATAGACCATTTTATTAATAAATCATGAAGTCAATTAACAATTTTTAATAATATTAGAAATATGTTTTAATTAATAATTCAATAATTTTATTATTATATAGAAGAGAAATTATGAATTTTATTTTTTTAATTAATTATGTTAAATAAAAATTCTAAAAAGAGGATATTTATAATTTTTTAAATCACATAAAATAATTTATATTTTTAAAAAATTTCAGAGAATCTATTTATAATTTCTAAACCTATAACCAAACGATCCTTCATCTTCCCAATCATCTTTTACATCAACCACTGTGGTTGTGGTCTACAACCACCACACCAAATTGATGTTGGCTATACAAATTATTTTGAGTCTAGTGACATTTTTTTTATTACTTAAATTAAAACAGAATCCGTAATCAACCGCAAATTTCAAGTTTTAAGCGAAGATAAGTTTAACACCAAAAAAAATAAAAATAAATAAATAAATAAAAAAATTATTGTCAAAAAGTTGGTGTCAATGTGACGCGATATATATAGGGCGAGTAATTAAGGTAACGTATGCGAGTGCGGGGTCTTCTTCATTCACACTTCCTTTCCCTCTATCTCTAATAAAGACTAGAGACTGTAACAAACGCACGCTCAACAATCTCATCTCATGCCCTGTCAAACCCAAAAACACTGCAAAGACGTTAAAGACGTTGCTTGCACGATCTTTCTGGACCAAAAAGATATACAAAGTGAAAGCAAAAAAAAACAGAAGAGAAAAAAAGTGGGCTGTTTTGTTTATCCTCACAGTCTCTCATTTTCTGTTAGCTTTTTCTTCGCGTTCTGGTTAAGCACACAGATAGAGAGATATGCCCTGTCAAACCCAAAAACACTGCAAAGACGTTAAAGACGTTGCTTGCACGATCTTTCTGGACCAAAAAGATATACAAAGTGAAAGCAAAAAAAAAAAAAGAAAAGAAAAAAAGTGGGCTGTTTTGTTTATCCTCAGTCTCTCATTTTCTGTTAGCTTTTTCTTCGCGTTCTGGTTAAGCACACAGATAGAGAGATATAGATAGAGATTGAAAGAAAAAATTTAAGGTAACGCGTTTTCTTTCGGTTTTCGTTTTCTCCATTAAATGCGTCCATTCCAAGTATCCGTTTTATATCTGTCTTCTAAACCACAATTACATATGACTTCTTCTCAACATGGGTTTTGTTGGAACCTTTGAGTTCAATTTGGTTTGATTGATTGATTTGCACTCGGTTTGTTCTTCAGTTTCTCGCCATTGGGATTTCCCGAAAAGGAAGAAGAAAAAAAAAGGTAGTATTTTTTTTTTTAATGTGGGGGTTTTTGATTTACTTTTACTGAACAATTGAAGTGTATAAACATATGTGTCTATACATATGTATGTGAATTCATCTGGGTTTGATTGATTTATGTTATGATGATTGAATTTATAAAAATTGTTTTATTTGAATGAAGATTGTGGTGCTTCTGCTTTAGTATGCTTTCTGGGTATATACTGAAATGAGCTGAATCTGTGACTGATTGTTGGTTTTTCAAAGTTTTTTGCATATTATTTTGTTCATTGTTGATGAACTTTCTTAATTTTGCTGGGAGGGAAAAGCATCCCATTGTTCTAGTATTTGATTTCCATTGTTTTTTTTATTATCTAATAATTTATGTATGGTGGAACAATTTCTACCAATCACTTCATTTTACACCTAACAAACGAATGTAGATTGTTCAACAGCAATTTTTTTGTTCTTCTTTTCTTCTGCAAGCGACCTAGAAACAAACAAATCTGCGAATCACCTGTTCATTATACCATAGACCTGAAAAGCTGTTAGATCCTTGGTCCACTTTGCTCCTTCATGTAAAGTGCAAAAAGACTGTGTTTTGCTAACACTTACACGTTTTCAATGATTTTTATAGTAATGAATGATTTTTGAAATATGAAGATGAATTGTGACATGAACAAGGATTGGAGAAAACGAAACTTCTAAAAAAAGGGTGACCCTGTGCATTAGGTTTATGCTAAAATGGGGTATAGAAGGGGACAAGATAAAGATATATATGTAGCCTTACCCACGTTTCTGGAGACTGTAATTAGCTTCTACCTCAAAACTTCCCCTAAACTCTAAAAAAAAAAAATTTTTTTTTTTTTTTTAATGTTCATCAATTCAGATATACTCTACTTTTGGCCTTTGTTGATGCTAAATTACTGTTTTATTTAAAATTTAACTGTCCTTTAAGCTAAATTTGGTGTGAATACACAAAATGCAAATTTGTCTATGCACAAAAGCAAAATGCTGAAAAAGTTATCATCATCATTGTAGTTCTCAAAAGCAAATGAGTTGAAGAAGCACTTGGTTTGGTAAATTCATCTCAGGAAGAAATTGTAATGTTTAATTTTGCTTTCAGGTTAGCTTGGGGACACTTTTTGCTTAGAACCATTTCTAATTCACCATATTATCAGGTTCAATCTTGGTGAGTGGCTCTTTCATCTGCTCAAAATTTATCAGTTCTTCAATGGTGCAGTGATTATTCTTCATTTAATCAGTCAAATCTCACCCCTCGCTTCTCTTTTTTTTTTTTCCATCATAAAAAATATCCATGGTTGGTTGGTTTGCAGGACATTTTTATTGCATTTACCTCATTTCGGTCAATGGATGAGGAGAGCATCAATACATCACAGACCCCAGAAATAATTGAGCCAGAGCAAGGCAATTTAGGAAGAAGCTCCGTGGGAATACCCAGTGATCCAAACGGTGGACATAATAAGAATCCTGATTATCGCAGGGCTTCTTATGGAGGCAATTTGAGAAGAAACTCCATGGGGAAACCAACTTTTCCAAACAATGGGCAAAATGCTCTCCCCCATTATATAAGAGCTTCTACTGGTTCTTTCCATTGTGTACCTAATTCAGGAAGAGACTCTATTGGAAAACCAAGTTCTCCAAACAGTGGCATTTCACATTATCTCAGAGCTTCTACAGGCTCTTGCCACGATTTCTGCAAATATGGAAGAAAACACGCGGCTGAAGTGAAGGAAAGGCGTTCTATACCGACAAGAGTAATAAAACCTCCTTTAGACAGGCAGAATCCCGAAGAATCTGGGTTCCCAGCAGAGAGAAAGACAACAAAAGGGGTCAAGCCCAAGCCTGCTCCATTTTCCAAAACCCCTTTCCCTGATTCCCACAGCATTTTTAAGAAAGAAGTTCTATGTTCATCACAAAAAGTCGGAGTTCCTTCAAGACAAGATTCATCAAATGAGAAGAAAATGAAATTTTCTGTAAAAAGCACTCCTGTGAATCGAAAAACCATGACGGTGAAGCCATTGTCTTCCCTGGAAACTTTCAGAGGTGTGAATGGAGGGAGGAATGGTGAGATCAAGATGGGCAAAAATACGGGGACTTCTAAAGCGGCTGTGAAAAAAGTACTTGCATCCCCAGCAGCTTCATGCTCCCCCAAACCTTCCATCAATAGAGTTGTGAGCTTAAATCTTAAGAAAAGCCTGAAACTTGTGTCTCCTCTGAAGGATCAGAACACCATCAGAAAAGCTGAGCCTAAACAACCAAACAGCAAGAAGGTCCCAGAGAAAACCTTGCATGCTGGCAAGGTTGAAACTGAGAACGAAGTTCTGGAATCAACACAAAATGGTAATAACATTATTGATTCTCCACCATCTCTAGTGCTGTCATCACCACAATTTTCATCCCTCCCAATATCTCTACCTTTGTCATTTCACGAGGAAGAAGCTCAGGAGGAGGAGTTTGAATGCACAGATAGTGAAGGAGATGAATCTGGTGATGACTCTATCTCAGATAGCAGCGAAACTGTAAGTTTTCCCAAAGCAGAAACTTCAAATGGGAATCGCAGCAGGGCACTTGGAAAATCTGGAGTTGATCGTTATGAAGATAAATATGGCACGCCTACGAAATTGAAGTTCAGGAGGGGAAGAGTGGTTGACCTTAAATCTGAGAATAGTGGTCCTAGGAGGCTCAGATTCAGGGGGGAAGAGTTTTGGGGGAAAACCAAGATAACAAGGCCGATATTCAAAAGAGAAGGTTTAAAATGAAAGGAGTTGATAATGATACAAATGGTACCAATTCTGATTCTGAAAAAGTTATTTTAAGGCATCAAGATGCGATGGGGAAGAAAGATGCGCAAGGTTTGTTTAATAATGTAATTGAAGAGACAGCGAGTAGGCTTGTTGAAAGTAGGAAGAGCAAGGTTAAGGCCTTGGTGGGCGCTTTTGAAACTGTTATCTCCCTACAAGAGACTAAACCTACAACACAAACTGTCACTTGATGGGAAACAAATCCTTCCTTCCCCCATTGCTTTTGGCTTTGTAAAGAAATGGTAGAAAAATAAATTGCAAACGCTATGCAAGTGAATTGCTTCAGTTGAGTTTGTAAAGCTTGGATGACAGAGCTGATTTGGGGCTCGTGTTTACTGATTCTGACATGCTTCATATCCATTTCTTGGAGGGTATGCTGCTGCTACTAGTGTCTTTTTTTGAATTTTGAACTAATTTGGTTGATTTGTATTGTGAGTGAAGCTGGTATATACTCTTTAATTTCATCTACTTCGAGTAAGGGAAGAAAAATAACACATTTTGGATGTTGAGTTGTATGGTCTTCCTTCTTTTCCTGTTAAGAAATGGACTGTTTTTGCGGATTGTTAGATCTCGTGTTCCCTGTTTTTTTGTCATAATGATTTGTTTTAGATTGGTTTTTGATGTAGCTTGCTTGATTTAGTCCTGAAATTCAAGGATTCATGTTAAAAGAACTCATAATTCTTGATTTGTATGTTCAAATGAACTTATCAATCTATGTGATTCTTGATTATTGCTACTTCACTTTGGTAATGGACATAACTTTTGCTGATGGATTGCTCTTCAATTCTTGATCAGTTAGTTGAAAAATAAATTTTGAAGATTATGGGGCTAACTCAAATGATCATGATTGTACATTATTCATGAAATCATATAGGTATATGATTATTGAATCAATTTAATTTTTTATAAATGATTTATACATTACTTTATAAGGTGAACAATTCAAAAACACATGAATGAAACTCATAGAGATTTTTACGGATCCAAATAATACCCTTCTATTATATAAAGTGTATACCTAAGCTGAATACTTTTCTCATTCTCCCTTCCAACTGACTAATTGCCATGTTGTTAGAATGATTTTTCTTTTTACTAAACCATTCAAAATTGCAAATCAAATTTCAACAATCATTAAATTATTCAAAAATTTAAATATAAAATTACAAACGTATATCATTTACATCCACCGCTAATTTGTATAAAGTTTTTATGACATGTTAAAAGAGTTATTTTAATTTACTAATAATGTCAAACTTTCTAGCAAATGATTTGATATTGTATAAGGTTTGACAATTGTTAAAATTCTCAACTCATCCTTTTAGTTCTACTTATTTGACATTATTTGAGCAAACTACAAGAAACTATATTTATAGTCTTAGAAAATGATTATCAAATTATAATATTATTATAAAATGTGTAATTTTATATTTTTATTATAAATTATCATGATTCTGACATAAAATAACGTAATATTTGTCATAAAAATACATATCATATATATATATATATATATGTATATATATATAAAAAGAAAGAATATTCATATGTGACATTTTCTTAAATTTTGCATGTATAATACATGTTTCTTCAATTTGTCCGAGCAAAGCCCTTAGCATCACAATCCTACACGATTGCCATTCCTAAATTTTAGTGAAAAGATAATAGTAACAAAATGTATATTACAATTCTTTTAGAGGTACCATAACATCACATTGCAAATTATTATGAATAATATTATATGAACTAATTAATGTATTAATCGATGATGTTATATAATTTAAGAAATTTTTAGTATTTATAATTTGTATAATGAGTTGGGTTAATAATAAGAGTGGTGCTACACACACCAATTAATGTACCAACACTAATTATGACATTATTATTAACTGCACTCATTATACAAATTATAAATAGAAAAAATATCTTCAATTATAACATATCTTCATTGATACACTATTTAATACACTAATCAATATATATAACATTAATCTAATAATAATATTATAATTAATATACGTAATATCATCGAATTATTATTGAAAAAGAGGAGAGAAAAAAATCAAAATTAAACGACAAATCAGGAAAGAAGACAAGATAGCAACGTTGTGTAGTCGTCGACGATGACCCGACGGTCAATTGCACTGATGACAACCACTTGATTGGAAGACAAATAAGAAAAAGTAGGACCCACTGATCTGTCCACAATAACGCCACGTCACTGACGACATGTCGATATCCAACTGGCATAAATTAATTTGTCAGTGCTCTATACATGTGACAGTCTAGTTATTTTATACTTCCCAAAAATAATTTTTTAATTTTTTCTCGCAGGTATGGAACCCTCTTCATCTCTTCCCAATCCCATTTCTGCGAATGAGTCGCAGCAAAGCTCAGCGTTTAGTTTTTTATTTTTGCATGGACGAAAATAACCCTCTGGATTAGGGATATTTCAAGGCATTCCTTGCATGTATCTCGGTTATTTCTTGCTTTCTGGTTTTGCCCCAGCAAAACCCTAATATGTTGTCTTGAGGTGATGCTGAAAGAGAACTTCGTGAGCTGAGGTGAGAAATTAGGGCTTGGATTGAAATTTAAATCACGATCTTGTGGAGATTTATAGCCTTTACTTGTTGTGAACTTGAAATTAAGCTGTTCTAATTAGATTTGATTTGATTTGGAGTTGTTAAAATTGTTTTTTTTTTTTTTAAACTGTATTTTTTTTTTTGGAAATTGATGCTGATTATGTTAAATTTTTGTTGGAATGAATTGTTTTTTGTTTTTTGGGGTTTGGAATAGGGTTTTGTGAATTGTTCCTTGTTTTTGAAATCAATGTTGCTGCTACTGAGTTATGTGTTGAAACTTGGATATAGAAAATTTTATAATATTTGCTAATCTGTAAAGAGTAATAATTGATTTACATGGGTTTAATAAAAAACTTCAATTTTGAAGTCGAGGGTTTTGTGGATCTTGGACTGCTGGGGTTACTGACATGCATGGGAGGGAAATAATACTTATCTATGGACAAGAAAGAAAACCCGAATTGTTTTATCTTTATTTTCTATGATCCAAGTGATGGTCACTTGGGGGTGAGGTGTCGTGAGTATTGATTTTTTTTTTTTTTCCCGTCCCCTTTCCCGTCGTTTTAATGCTTTTTGATTTTATAGTAAAGGGTGTAGATTATGAATTTAACATATGTGGGCAGACTACTTGAGAGGTCATGATTATTGGAAACTGCAAAACGTGTGGATCTTTGTACTGGTTTGTAATTTCAATTGCAATGAAATGCTGATTATTAGACTATCACACAGCCTACTTAATGGAATTATAAGGAGCATTTCAACGAGATGTCAGATATTTTTGACCCTTACACAATTAGAAGAAACATCTCCCTGACTTGAAGGTTATCCTTGATATTTATCGCACAAAAGGCAATAATTAACTTCAACTTTCAGATAAACAACTTGTTGGACTTCGTTTGAACTAAGTTGTTGTCTGAATCCTTGAGATCTTTTCTTATAAGGCGAATATATTACTCGGCTTGTTGTGTGCTTCTCATGGAATTTAATGATTGTTATTTGTTGCTGCAAATTAAGCCGTAGGCATAGGCCTGCTTTGATTCATTCATGAATTTTGAGTGATCTGGGTGCCATTTTGAACTCTGTCTTGTCCATATATCTAAGTCTAATTGTTGAAAATGTTTATATGTGGAATGTTGGCGTTGAAGAGATGAATGATTTTGATTGCACATTTCTTTTGGGTACATGTTGCTGATGAATTGGCCTCACATTGTTTTTGTCACCCAGTAAGATGACATTGTAGTAGTTTGATCTTCAACTTGATCCTTAAGAGTGCTTGCTTAAACATTTTGTATTGGATTTTCAATCCTCGATATTTGTACTCATTTATCTGCTATATTGCTTCAGCAGCCTGATAGCAGCATGCTCTTGGAGCTCACCTTTCTCTATCCTATAAATTGCCACTTTTTACTGAGTTTGACATCTGTAAACTGATAAAGACCCTAGTGCTTGATTGACCTTGTCTGATGAGTATAACAGAAGAATTATTGGTGCATGTTGAGATTTTGGTGTTTTTAGCATTGAGTTAGGTCAACCAAGCCTATTTATTTTGGAATCTGAAATGTTAATTGCATACTTTAATTGATTCTATTTTGTAGCATTCACGGTTGTCTAGTTGATTTATTGTTTTCACAGTTTATATACTACTGACTTGTAGCCTTGGTCTGATTGTGTGGCTTAATTTTTTTCATTAACTCATCTGACATTACTAGGTGGAGACAATGATTTTAACGAAGCAGTATCGCTGTATGCACTCAACAAGCTGTACATGCACGAAAGGGCATCTAAATGAGGATGCGATCTTTCTAATTTTTCAGCACCTGAACTGGAATCCTAAGTTGATAGCAGCCTTTTCTTGTGCATGCAAATGGTTTGATGATGTTGCTAAAAGAGTACTCTGGAAGGAGTTTTGCAAAGCTAGAGCTCCGAAGATGATGCTTGATCTGCAATCTAGTGGGAGTCACAGTGTTGATGGGAACTGGAGGGCGCTTGGGAAGCTGCTTATTTACTGTTCTGGATGTACTAAGGGTGGCTTGTTCAATAATATTCATATTCCTGGCCATTTTGTTTATAGGACCCGTTTCTCTAGGACTTCAGGGAAAAGCTTTCTTTTGCCGCAATGCAGAACAGATGTGCTGTATGTGTCTGATCCTTGTGAACATCTTGACCAAGGGGAAGAGGGAGATGTGGGATTTTTCCGTGGAGTTTTCAAGTCATTTGCAATGTCAAAGGTTCGGAAGATGCTGATCAGCAGGGGGGCCAAGTTTCATCCAACAGAAGTGTGCCCCTATTGTAAGGCAAAGCTGTGGAGCATGCTGCAAGCAAAAATGGTACCGCAGAGTGCTAGCTGCAGGTTAGGTTCTTACGAAGATGCAATCGAGTATTACGTGTGCCTTAATGGGCATGTGCTTGGTATCTGCACCCTCTTGCCATTGTCTGATTCAGAGGCATCTGAGTTGGAGTGATACTTTGAACTGAACCCAGGTATATCTAATCTAAGCACACAGATTTTTCTTTCCTTTCTGGTTTTTCTTTTTTAAAATCAATAGGGTTCCTTTTCGTATTTGTCATGGAACTCTACCATATATATTTATTTAGTGTAATTTTCTACTTTTTCCTGAATGAACACCGCAAGACACTCTGCTACAATCTGTTAACTCTTAAAAGACCTGGCCTTTTTGTGTAGACATTAGGATTTTTATGAGATACAAACGAAGATTCTTTTGCTCGGTCACCTTTTAAACACAGCAACAAAAAATAGTACACACTCGGGGGGTGGTAAATAAGCCGAACTGAGTTGAGTATTGACCATGTTTGAGCTCTGGTTGAGAATGTAACATTGCAATTAGGGGTTTATCTTGAAAGTGCCTGATTACAATCAACTAACTATTTCACATGTGATTTATCAAAATATCATTGGCTTAAAGACTGGATTAACACCAGATTTGGGATGTAAAACCTTGCAGTCTTTTTGACTAGTGTTTTTTATGTAGAGATCACTGTAGATGTATTGTTGTTCTTTTATTGCTGTATATAATTTCAAATTTACCTAGTCAAGCTTTGCTGAGCCGAACCTCCTCTTGCTGAATATCAGGTCAACTGTGAGGGAAGTCAGATATTCGGGTTGTGCTAGGCTTGAACCACAAAACAAGCCACGACAAGCCTTTTGTGAGTTGAGTTTGAGCTACTTGCTGCTTGACTCGTTTTGCGTATAAAATTCAGCACCCGTAGTGAACAATATTACCTCAATTTTTAAGATATTTTTCCAAGTTTTGATTTTCTTGACTTTGCCTTGCCACTTGTAAGTTTGTTGATTTTCGCTTATGTGATGACAGCCATCTTCCTAGCTAAAACAGATCAATTAGTAATATGATGATCTTAATTGGAGGATCCGAAGTCTGCGAGAAATGGCCAAGATTCACTCCTGATTTTATGTGGTGTTGCCCATTGATTTGTATATTCGTCAACTGTTTTTTACTCAAAATTGTCTAACAAAATTATTATTTTTATTGAACAGGTTTTGGATCACTGCAATTATGGATTTGTTATCTGATGCTGGATCTTTGTTGTTGTTGCTTAAAGCACCAAAGACTTGTACAAATGTGCTGCTTCTCAATCTTTAAGAAGCTATGCCTAACCATTTTGTTATCGTCATCATCCTCAATTCGAAAAAGTTGTACTTTGAACTATGTACTGTGTAAATTGTATTGCCTAATATGTGTATTTGAATTTGAATATCAGACTGGGGTCTGAAATAATTTACAATGACTTAATTGTTTATGACAGATCAGTCTATTTGCCTATTTACTTGAATTTCTTTACAAATTTCACCCCACTTAAGGGATCTGCAAGTTTTGGACATCTCATGGTTGATGCTTTTGAGGTGCAGTGAGGGAGGGAGGGAAAGAAAAATATGGTGTTGAGCTTTCTAAGTTTTTACTGTAACAATGATCCAATAACTATTTGCCAAGCTCAAATTCTGTTAGGAACAATCATTCAAAGCATTTGTAAATAATGCGAAACAATTGGGCGAACATGTTTATTTCTTTCCTCATGACAATTTGACAAACCTTTGGATATTGATAATGTAAGTAGATAAAACCATCCAGAAGCTTAATACATTAGGATTGATTACTCTCCAAGGGAACAATAGAATGCACATCAGAATCATGAAGGAACGCAGACGCAAAATGGATTTCAAGATTAGAGGCATCACAGCCCTGTTCAGCATGACAAAGACGAGGGCAGGAACTCCAGAACGTTATTTAAATATTCTGGTGAGTATGTTCATTTTTCTGCTCTGCTTCTGCTTCAAAGTCCAAGCCTTCAATGCTCATCCGGCCTACATTAACTGCACATTCAAACTTCTTGTTTCGGATTAGACAGTATAGCTGTATACCAAACACCAAAGGAGGACTACAATGCTTTGGTGCTGAAGGTCTATTGATTCAGAATCATGGGATGGTTATGTTGTAACAGATTACAAACCCCACATGAGCTGCACCTCCTCTTTGGGAATGGGAGGAGATACCACTCGAGTTAACAGTAAAACAAAAACTTAAAAGCATAATTCGAGGTTCGTAATCCCAATTACCTTCAGTTGCCCACTTGGATCTATGTAAAACCATATCCTTGGTTAAAACATTTATGATTTCTCATGGACTAAATAATTTTTTCCTGTTTTTTAGATTTTCTCCTCCAATATACATCTTGCTCTCCTCAGACCAAGCTTTAGCAGGAATCTTGTCCACTGGTCACCCCCTTTTTTTACTTTTTATTTTTAGATCTTCAATTTATCTTTTCTTGTTAACATTCGTATCTATCTTGAACATTCTCATTTCAGTTGAAATTAATTTTTAAAACGTTTATTAATTGACTAACATTTTGTACTAGACAACACAACTAATAATTGTCAATAGAACTGTGGAAATACCCAATAAATCCTACTTTTCCAATGAAATTTCCATCAAGTCCTATTAACACATGAATCAACCCTATTGTCAATACGACTCAATATAAAAGTAAGACTATTTTGATATTTTCCCCAAAACTTTTCCCTCATCATAGTTAAGAGTTCTATGGTCACGCGATTTTTTTCAGACACTATCCATCTTGTTGTAATCAATAGGCAACATTCTCCTCAATTCCCTTACCTTGTAAATAACCAATCTGGAACTGAAAAAGAAAACAAGGAAAAACAAAACAAAACAAAAGGTAGGAACAATAGCAACCCCCATTTTCTAAAAAAATAAAGGACCTGCTAGAAAAGGGTATTGAAAACCACTGTTAACTACAATCTCCAAATTGGCATCTAGAAATTCATCATTTAATCAACCCCATGCATAAATTAACCTAGGCAAAGATTCCAACACCTAATGCCAACTGAAGGGAAGTCCATCAAGTGCAGCTCAGATTGTTGTGTATGGTTAACCAAATAAATGCAACTTGTATAAGTCTAAATGAAAAAGAGAAGGGGTGACAAAACAGATAGACTACTTACCAACAGCATCCATCCCAGCTAATTTGGGCATGAACTGCCTAATATGGTCTTCGGCTGCTTTATCTGCTTTCAGAGTCTCACAGTCAAAAGAAATTAAAATCTTACTTTTCCCATGCTCCTGTTCAACCATACCCACAACATCTTTCTCCCATCTGTAAACAGACAGTATGTAACAGAATTCAGAAAATGAAGCAAATTTGAGTCTTAGAGTTGAAGACAAAAGTAGAAGTATGCTCATGATTGAGCCAAAAGCATCCATACAAAACTAGAACTTTTACATGCATATGTTAAATATATCTCTTGCATAGTTTTCTCATTTGTGAGCCTTATAATTTCTGTGTCATTAAAAAAAATTATAACTCATCATACATGCTTAAAATTCAATAATTCTACAACTGACCCTGAAGGATAATACAAATAGGATACTAAAAAATTCATGGAATTAAGATTAATATTAAACCAATTGGAGCTAGAAGAGTAACCAGGACCAATTTAGTCATGTTTTTATGTTCCAATTAAACACTTTTGATTATTCTCAAAGGACACTAAGAATCTCCAACAACACATTATTCCTCAACAACACACCACGCCTATAGAGATAGACTAGTAGATCACAAATTAGCTTACCCATGAGCATGATCAATGTTACGAAACCGAGCAGCATCATGCCCTCTACACTCCACCACCACAAATCGTTCTGCTTTACTCTGTAGTATATCAGGGCTCATCATATGCAATGTTAGAGACGGCAAAAATGAGAGGAGAAGGAAAAAAAGAAAGTAAAAGCTGATGGTGAAAAAGGAAAATCATGATTGGGGGTTTAGAGATATGGATCTACTTAATTTGACTAACGAAATGGCCTTTGATAGAGCAGCATGGAGAAGAAGGATTCATGTAGTCGACCCTATTTGATGAGATTTAAGGCTTGGTTTGGTTTGGTTTGATTTGGAATATTGGCTTGGTGTTACTAGAAAAAGAATCAAGCGGTAATCCTCACCCCTGCTGCATTCCCTTTCACATGCTAACTCTTTTAAAAAAAAGAAGAAACATAAATGTCAATGAACTAGAAATATTTAAGAATAGAATGGATAAGAAAGGTACTTGGGATTTGAAAGATGATGCTAATACTATGTGAAACTCGATGGCCAATTGTATGAGGAGAATCTGAAGGGAAGTGCTTGGAGAGTCGAAAGGAACGTGACCCATCTCTAAACTTCGTGGTGGTGGGAAGAGGTTCAAGCGGTAGTTAAGGCAAAAAAAAGAGTGTTTTAAAAGTGGCAGAAGGATAGAACTGATGAAAAACTTAAGAGCTATAGATTGGCTAATAAGGAGGTCAAGAAAGTAGTGAGAGAGGTTAAGTTAAAAGCTTACGATGACCTATACACTAGATTAGATAGTAAGGAGGGAGAGAAGAGGGTATACAAACTTGTTAAGATACGGGAGACGAAAACAAGAGATTTTAATCAAGTTAAGTGTATCAAGAGTGAGGATTCTAAGGGATTGGTGAAGGATGAAGAGAGAAAGATGGAAGAACTATTAAATGAGGAACATGAAGGTATATCAATAGGGAAAGATAGGGAAAGAAATAGCCAGTAATACGATAAATCAAGACTATAGGTTCTATCGTAGGATTAGGAACTTTGAAGTGGAGATTGCACTTAAGACGATGAAATCAAATAAGGCTTTAGGACTCGATGATATTCCTGTTGAAGCTTGGAAGTGTTTGGGTAAAAAATGGGTTGCTTGGTTGACTAGGTTGTTTAGCAAAATTTTGTTAACTAGGACCATGCCAGATGAGTGGCGGAAGAGTATTTTAGTGCCAATCTATAAGAATAAATGAGATGTCCAGAATTGCAACAACTATAGAGGAATCAAGCTAATGTGTCATATAATAAAAGTGTGGGAGAAGGTGATGGAACGCCGATTGCGAGATATAATAGAGGTGTCAAAAAATCAATTTGGGTTTATGCCTGGCAGATTAACAATGGAAGCGATCTATCTTTTGAGGGGACTAATAGAAAAGTATAGAGAAAAGAAAAGAAACATTCATATGGTGTTTATCAACCTTGAGAAAGCATATAATAGAGTGTCTCGGGATATAATATGGTGGGTGTTAGAGAAGAAAGAAGCGACAAAAGGTTACATTGATGTGATTAGAAACATGTATGAAGAGGTGGTGACCACTATTAGATCGCTTGTTGGAGAGACAAATGAGTTTCCTATCACTGTAGGGTTACACCAAGGATCTACCTTAAATCCTTATCTTTTTGCTTTAGTTATGGATGAGTTGACGAGAAATATTTAGGATGACGTGCCATGGTGTATGCTTTTTGCAGACAATATCGTACTAGTGGATGAGACTAGAGAAGCAGTTAACATAAAGTTAGAAATTTGGAGAAAAACACTTAAATCTAAAGGATTCCGGATAAGCAGAACTAAGACAGAGTACATGGAGTGTAAATTTAGTAACAATAACAATGAAAGTAGAGGAGAAGTGAAGACTGAGAACCAAGAACTGCCTAAGAGTGAACATTTTCGTTATTTAGGGTCGATTATCACAACAACGGGGGAGATTGGTGCGGATGTGGCCCATAGGATTAAGACAGGATGGTGTAAGTGGAGAATAGCGTATGGGGTACTGTGCGATAAACGAAACCCACTAGACTAAAAGGTAAGTTCTATAGAACAGCTATTTGACCAGCGATGTTGTATGGGATGGAGTGTTGGGCAACCAAGAAACAATATGTAGATAAGATGAGTATGGCTGAGATAAGGATGCTAAAGTGGATGTGTGGCAAGACTAGATAAGACAGAATTATGAATGAGTGTATTCGGAAATGGGTAGGAGTAGCACCGATAGAAGATAAGTTGAGAGAGAATCGATTGAGATGGTTTGGTCATATTCAACGGAGACCAACAGAGGCAGTAGCGAAGAGATGCAATGCAGTGACGGTAGATAGAAGTGTTAGGGACCGGGTAGGCCAAGATAAACATTGGCTAGTGTTGTAAATAGAGATATGGATCTACTTAATTTGACTAACGAAATGGCCTTTGATAGAGCAGCATGGAGAAGAAGGATTCATGTAGTCGACCCTATTTGATGAGATTTAAGGCTTGGTTTGGTTTGGTTTGATTTGGAATATTGGCTTGGTGTTACTAGAAAAAGACCTGTATAGTGTTTGTATATGTCAAAAAAACATTTTCCACACTTTTCAAAGGCTCAAAAGTTTACATAATGTATGTGTGTTATATTAACTTTGTATTAACATTCAATAAATTGTTTCTGCAGCAGAACGCAACCAA